ATACCTCAATCAGTTTGGCTGGGAATATAGACTAGGTTCATCAACGTTCTGGTGATCTCTTTTATGTTATTCACAACCAATAGGATGGTTCGTAAAGTGTACAGTCGATAAGTAATTAGAAAAGTGTAGAACTGTTTATTTTTTTGCCTCAATTGCCTACTCTGAGGACGAATCACTTTCTATTTTGCTTCACAATGGTAGCTAAGTGGTAGGGGCGCCCATTTTTTTAACTAATCAGTAACTAGTCGCTGTGTTGCTAAGATATCTGAAAAGCAACCGACATTCCCGTTAACCATCAGTTTATTCACTTAATCAAAGAGCTACCTATTGTTACCTATAATCTCATGTGCCTGCTTTATTTTTATGACAACTGATCATGATTATTGCAATGTCTTAGTAGCTTAAAATAAAGGTTACATTCGTTTATAGCTGTTTTGATACCTCATTAGCTTTTTTCTGATCTGAAAATTGTTTAGTCTTTGCTACTTATTGTAGTAAAAGAAAGATTACACAAGGCTGTTTCTATAGAAGAACCTTCGTTATGCCTCACTAAATGTCTAGCTAGTCTCTTCATTTATTGATCTTAGATATTTCTCATTTCTAAACGAAAGTTAAAGAGATTTTCTAGTTTCAGTTTTATTATTATCAGGATAAAGAGATGCATATAGTTGAAGAACCTAATCTATAATAAAACATTTACCGGTGAACCGAGTTGACAGTAGTTACGAGAGAGAGGAGTTATTACCATAGAAAAACATAAGTATTTCATGACTTTCGGTCGTTCTTTACATAATCCTAGCTTATAATTCAAACTGATAAAAAAAGGCTAACTATGATATACCTTTAATTTGTCTTCTTAAACTTACCGATAGAAGTCTAGTGAATCTAGGGGTATTTCAGAGGAACTTTCATATCCAAAAAAGTAAGGCAATCCAATAAATGCATAACCGGGTGATCGTAAAGAACCTAAGACTAGTGACTCATCTACAGGCGTAAGAAATATATCTAACTGAGATTTCTGATAATCGGTCATATTGAATTGAGAACAAATCTAAATAAATAAGTAAAGAAAGTTAACTAGGCTTACTTCTTTTGTTATTCGTAAAATTCGTTCAGATGGCTTTGCCTCCCATTCTACATCAAGTCGTGTGACAGACCAACGACAAAGAACTTCATAATATGGCTGGACATAATAAGATAGTGAACATGCTGTGGCCGCGCATAAGAGTGCTAACTTTTGTGAGTGTTTCGCGAAAAATATCGAGAATTTATTCATAACGAAGCGGGATTCAGAATAATCTCTATGACTAAATCTTTCTGGAAATGTGAAGCAAAACTGGAAAATAAAAAGTATAGTGTAATATGCTCAAAATGAGAAGTTAAAGTGTATGCATCCTTATAAATACTATCGACCATGAGCAATATAATTAATAGGTCTCAGTCATAGACTATGGATATTTTGCGAACCACAGGCAAAAATTCCTTATCTATTTAAGCATATAAGAACTGGTACAAAGGGGCACCAAGGCATTTATGCGCCATACAGTATGGAAATCGAGAAGAGATAGAGAAAGCAAGACGATGAATAAAAATGGTCGAGGGTAAAAATAGCGGAAACAGATCATTTAAGAAAAACAACCAAAATGGGTCCTTTCGATCAAAGTTACTCCCACTTTTAAATAAAAACAGTTGCAACAGTATCGCCCCTGGCTTCTATTCTGAACCATGTCTGATAACATCTCAAGCCACTGTGTTGCATCAACTCCAGGACCCTGACCAGAGAGTTGTGGAGAGCCAACAGAAGCCAGTCCTGTATAGCTTTTGTTTATAACATGACACAATGCCATTTACTGACCATCTCACCGATTTTCCCAATCAGTCCCAGCGTCAACACATGATACACGATGTAGAAATTCTCTGGGGTGGTATTTGTAGTACATTTCCAAGAAGTTGGTGTTTCAAAATAGTGACAATAATCGAATTATCGTCACTGTGCCGAACAAACGTTGCCGTACATCTAGATTCCTAAGATGGTGCTGCTACTGAATGTCAGCAATACTTCGGAAACAACGATGATCAAACATAGAAACTAAGGAAGTAGTGAAAATTCTCCTTTCTCTTCTGGGGATGAATTTTTCGAAATTAATACTTTTACTTAAATTAATACAAAATAATCTAATGTAGTGATGGTATTCCCCCGTTACTGTTATACGAAAATTCGAACGTACTAGCTGAATCACATCAGGCAAAAGCTGAAACTTTCTCAAGCTATTTTAGCGAAGTCTACTGTACGTTTATTGTAAAAAATACTTGCCCCACTCACACCGAGATACCAGCCATTGAATCTCTACATGTGACTGAGGAAACTGTCCTTCTGTTGATAGCTAACCTCAAACCTTTTAAGATGCCGGGCTCTGACGGGTTACATCCACGACTGCTGCCATCTCTTGCGGACATTATTTTAAAACCGCTTGCGACATTCTTCAACATGTCCCTTCCACTCGATCGACTTCCAAGAGATTGAAAAGACGCTATAGTCAGTCCTATATTTAAGGATGGTCTGAGACGGTTCGCATCGAACTACCGGCCTGTCAGTCTAACTAGAATTGACGTTAAGTTACTTGAAAAGATAATTTGGGTTAGGTTGCTAAGCCACATAGATTCACACAGTCTGTTAGCTCCTGAGCAACATGGATTTTGTAACAAGCGTTCATGCTTGACTAACTAACTTATTGCGAGAGACGATTGGACGGCAGCCTTAGATAAAGGTCTGTCTGTCAATTTGATATTCATAGATTTCAGCAAAGCATTTGACAAGGTTTCACACTTAGAACTTATGCAGAAGCTTACGAGCTTCGGTATAATAGATACTGTACAGGAGTGGATAGGAAACTCCTTATGTGACCACAGACAGAATGAGGGTCAATGGAGCGGTATCCGATCGGAAGTCTGTCAAAAGTGGCCTACCCCAAGGCACCATCTTAGGTCCTCTGCTCTTCCTTCTCTACGTTAACGAGTTACCGCTGTTGCTTAGGTCGTCAACATTATTGTTTGCCGGTGACGTAATGTTTGGAGAACAATAAAAAGTGAGGCTGATTATTTGGATCTCCAAGCCGACTTAGACGATTTAGTTAGATGGGCTCGAGGTTGGGGCTTAGAAATAAATTCTAGGAAGAGTGTGCTAATGAACATCGGCCACGGTAATAGTTACCATTATACTACTGATGGTAAACCTCTTCCATGCGTTCAAGAAGATAGACTTAGGAGTAATAATAAGTCATGACTTAAAAACAACTAAGCATAGCAACACAGCCGCTGTCAAAGGTTTTCGTGCGTTATGGTTACTCCGCCGAGCGTTCAAATCTTTTGACGAGGAAATGTTTTGAATTTTATATCCCACGTACGTAAGACCACATTCAGAGTACTGTATCCAAGCAGCTAGCCCATGTCTGGTAAAGGATGCAAACTCAATTATGCGTGTGGGAACGAAATCTGTAAAGAGTCTTTCTAAACTCCCTTACGATGAGAGTTTAAAACGCCCAAACCTTTTCCCCTTGTCGTATAGTAGTACGCGAGGTGACCTTATACTGGCATTTCGTATCTTTAATTATGATTTGGGTGTTAATGTCTTACCTTTTTGCTTCCTCCAGCACTAATAATCACCGAGGTCATGGCAAGAAGGTTTACAAACCGCGACCTATTAAACTTAAAGTGGGGTTCCGCTTTTCGCATTGAGTAGTCAATGACTGGAACGCCTTACCCGAACAAGTGGTATCAGCCCCATCAGTGAATATTTTCAAGGAGAAGCTGGGCCTTCACCGGAAGGCAATCTGTCAGGATTAACACAAGTTCACCAACCTACTATCCTTATTACTGAAGACTGAAATGACACCAGTGTGCCTAAGCCAGTGGAAAGGTGAATAAACTCATTCTCAAAATTGACACAATCCTTCCATATATTGCTTGTTTGAAAGCAATAAACACGGGAAGTGGTGAAATAAATGACAGGATGCATGAAGCCATTTATAAGATTATTTGTGGTCTCAGGCCAGACCACTCGAAAATCATAATCCAACTTATGTACATACGCGTGTGCTTCCGTAACAAAATCCCTTACGTTAAAATGGAAAGTCGTGTAGAGGTTTGTGTCTAGTGAGAAATCACTTTGTGTAGTAGGAGAGCATGTAAAGTAACGTGAGTGAGGAGGGCTGGAAAAGGAAGGAAAAAGGTGAGTTGACGACCCAGCAAACAAACAATACGCTTACATTTACTACGGGAACTAATAGACAGCAATCTGTAGTAACACGAGACTCAGATTCAAACAATCTTGAGACAGAAACTAGAGGCAAATAGTTTAACTCGTTAAGCAACGCTTCAGTGGTTCAACCACTATTGAAGGTTACTGGGCAAGGTATAAACGGTAATCCCTTTCAAATCTGTCCGCCGTTTCGTTTCAACGACCTTGAACGCGCTGACTGGAAGCGGGCATTCCGTATTTCAATTGCTGTGTGTGTGTTGGGTCCTATGAGTATTAAATGTTTCCATATATAAGTCATCTTTTGATGCATAATAAACACTAAATAACTGCTAAGAGCATTAACTGAGTATTTTCTGTTTTGTAGTGCACACTTTAGCTCTGTTGTTCCTTCGAAACTTGATCTGTGGTCCTAAGTGCTGTAGTGAAAGTCAACAGCTATATATAATTTGTTGATAAGGTCCAGAAAACAACGTAAGAAAGATAAAATAACGTAAAAGGTTATAGATGCGCATAGTTTTTGTGAGTTAATACGAAATGTCAACTGAAGGGTAAGTCCTAAATATTTGTTGTTCTTCCTTCAGTTAATTTTTTTCAAGGAATAACCTTTTTTTAATAGCTATTGTATGTTGCATCTAGTGCTTCATGCTCAAGTGAAATTTCAGTGAACGTAAGCGACGCGTTCCAACGTATTATGCTGAATAAGAGATTCGGAAGCTGGATTAAAGTATGATGGGATAAATCTATGTTATCTCAGATGACCCATACACACTATGTTCACGCAGAAAGTAGATTGTTGAAGGATGTGAGATATAAATACTTGTTCGTAGTGTTTCGTTGCACGTTTGGTCGTAAACGTAAATCAGAAGGTCTGAATGTGATTAAAAAACCGTGAGGACTCTAACTAATGTGTTACCTTTAAGGTCTAAATTTTTAAATTGCCAATCGATGTTTCGCGTAAGATTGGAGGGTCAACAATACGTTATAAAATCTTACAACATGACTCACAACCATCCGTGTACTAGTTCGTGGATGGTTTGTGATCCGTTGAGTAGACGATTGTCATCAGAAGAAAAAGAAAACTTGAAACCAGTTATATTGCACTGTCAGTCGACGGACGAAGTTATCGAAAGTATTAAGGGAAGAACAGGTAAGCAGGTGACCGCTGCTGATGTGAAAAATATGAAAGCTGAACTCTCCACTGGTAAGTGTATATAAATATATTTCAGGTTGGACTCGGAAGCAGGTATTGCAGATGATGCGACAAAACGGTGAAGTTAGAGAGCATGCAGAAAGTGGATGTATTACGGCGATATGCTTCAGCAGTTATGATCAGATACGGCTGTACAGTCAATATCCCGAAGTCGTGTGTATTGATTCTACTTATAAAACTAATAATAAAAAGTGAATATGATTTTCGTTTTGTTCTACTATGTAGATATTCATTATTCCAGTTAGTGGTGACAGACAGTTGGGGCCGAGGTCGAACTGTTATGTTTGCATGGACACAAAAAGAAAAGCGTGCGGATGTTACGTGGGTTTTGGATAAATTCAAGGAGATAATGGGTAACACGACCAAAACAGAAACATTTGTGATGGATTGCGCACGATCTGAAAGCGCGGCTGTCCGTATAACGCACGGGCATGCAAACATTATTTTGTGCGCCTTTCATTACGAAGTGGATGTAAGTATTTGTGAATGCAATTGTAGCACGTTTAATATGTGTCGATATCCGTGCCGCTATCTCCTGCTGGCATATATTAAAAGACGAAGTCTAACAGGTAAGCTATTTAAATTATAAAATATAAACTGCATAGCTCATCAACTTCTTAGGTGTTGCTGCAGATGGAAAATAGACAATACGCACAATTTACAAAACAACACAGGAATTTCATTACCGAGACGGAGTAAAGAATATATACAACTTCAACGGCTCCAAAGAATGTGCAAACAACAAATTGTTGAGAAATATGGTGAACGCTTCGCGAATCAGGTGGAGAGAAGGGTCTACAATTTTTACTTAAGAATTATAAACAGCTAGACAGCAGGTTTACGATTAACAGTTCTTTGTGGCTATTTATACAACTTGTAAACTTATCTTTCCACTTTAGTAGTCATGAAAAATCAATAAACTTTTTCTCATTTTTTATTTTCGTCTTCTTCATACTTTCATGGGGAGGTTTACCAATCGCTTTAACGAATAATTGTGTGTGAAAATTAAGAATTTGTACTACTGTATTAGTTACGAACTGTCGTTAGAACTTAGCGTTATATCGTTGTTCATTGTCAGGAATCAATGAGTCAAATAAAACAATAATGCGACTTCCACGTAAAACCTTACAGATTAAACAACCGCCTTACATATTTTCCGTTGTCAGATTACGTCCATTATCAAGTTAGTATTAGTATGGAACTAGACAATTTCATGCAGCTAGTTCCTTGATAAGATGGATTACGTAATCCTTAGACCACCCTTCCACTCACACCTCTTTGCTAAATTATGTTAACTCTTCAGATTGTCTTCACTTATCTTATTAGTTCTTAATTCAATGATTTATTCATTACATCTAGAATTATCACACAATTTATCTTATAGGCTTCTGAGCTTCACTCGACTATTACACCACCCATCCTTTATGTTCCCTTAAGTCTAACACTAAATGACCTTTGACCTGTTCAAGCATATACATATGTATAGTTATTATTGATAACCTAGGTCATTCCAATTCTTTGCTTTATATTATATTTCATACTATTTCTTCCCTCAATCTTAAATTATAATGCATATTCAGTTGTATGCAACTTATAAGAAACCACGAAATGTAATGCAGTCACATGATTGTGCGTCAATATTTGTTTTGGCTTTATTTAGACCATAATTATACAAACTTACAGGATTTATAATATAAAACACTGCGTATGGTTGTTATATTTATATTTAAATAATTCATTAGATGAATGAGCATAGCAGTAGGCAATATAAAACAGTTATCGTAAACTTGTAAACCGGTTTTCCACACGACCTTCCGTAATCCTAAATTCCATAAGCTTCATACTATTCTGAAAAACAACAAATCCGTTTTGAGACAAACAATTAAACTTTGTTCTCAGTATCATATTCAATAAGTTATTCAAATAGCAAGTAACAGACTGTGCCTATAAGTCTTTTATTAACAAGTAGTGACATTCATTCATAACTTCCTAAGTAACACAACAACTGTATTACCGAAACGGAGTGAAGAGTATATAATAACTCATTTGTGAACCCTATAACAGACACGTCACAAATCAGTATTAACTAAAAAACATGGTTGTGTCACCATTCTCACAAGAAACACCGATCGTTTTATTCATGAAGATTTTGTTCCTACTTGATGTGGTGTTATACACTATTACTGCAGACATTCAGAAATCCGCTGGACAACACTATAAACGTCAATTGTTACTCATATATTTTTTTATACGTTACATAATTATGTCACTTCAGTACAAAACAATGGTACCTCTAATGGATATAACTTTTTGTGGCTAAATACAAACAAGTTATATAATATTCACAATTAGGTTAACGCTTGATTGCTTCTACTTACATTTTATAAACAACTACCGACATCCATGTTCACCGTCACCGCAATCAAGGAGGTGGACCATATGTAAAAGATTTTACGGTTCATTTTCATGAAAACTCAATCTGTGATGTATTTTTTGACTAGAAACACGGTGAACTTTACTTGCTTGAGTTTGTATTGTTACAAATAACTATATTAAGCTAACTTCAGATTTACTTACGTGATGAGCTAGAAATACGTCAAACTGCCAATAAATTGGAATAAAAACTATGTTACAAGCACTAGCAATACAGAAATTGATGTGTCATGCAAAAAAGCCTGTTAATAGCTGATAAATAACGACACAAAAAATCCACGACAATATGTAACGTGTGCGCGAAAATCCCTGGCTTACCCACTAGTCCGTGCCAGGTTACTGAGCACATAAAGGTCAAAAAGTCGTGAAACGCTTAATGCGTCACCTTGAAAATTCGTAACGTTTATCAGAAGCGGTCAAATCAAAATATTTTTAGATTTGGTTTGAATTCACTAACAGTACAATCACAGTTTAGAACAACGAATACTGTATACAAAGTCAAAAAGGTTTAAACGTCAACAGGGCTGAAGATCGCATGAGTTTACCATAGGGTTCTAAAACCTTTGGTGGCTATCACACAGTAGTGTGCTGTAGTTTTAAAGTTTTGGCTAACGAAGACTCCCAAGTTATTCTGTGCCTGGACAACAGGTAGTTAAATTTCAGCTGACTACTGACTATCCCGTTGAATCATCAACGAATGGAATCCATCATCTCAACACATGTCTGATGACCAATATGCATCACAATGCACTTGGAAGCATTTGTCGGCGATTGCCAAATTTGAGACCATTAAGATAATTTCTCCAGGTCATTTTGAGGCTCTAAACTACCATATTTACATTTTACCGTTCTTCATATCTTGACATCGTCAGCGTATAATAAGACCGATGATGATAGGAGACGAGGATGGTCATTTACATACAACAGTAACAACACTGGTCCCCAAAACACTCAAATGAGCACAGTTTCCCAGCTAGACAACTTCGAGTTCACTTGTACTCTTTGTTGACGCCCAACTACGAAATCCTTTATCAACATCAATGAATTACCTCCGATCCCGATATTATTAAGCTTATTTAACAGTTGGTTGTGAGGAACTTTGTCAAAAGCCTTTCTGATGTCAATGTAGGCTACGTCTATAGGTAGGTCATCAGCCTTGGCACAGCAGCTATTATGGAACGCTACAGGTCGTTAAGAAGTAAGTGTAAAATTAAAATCCGGAAGGCTTAGAGAATATATGAAACGCTGTTGGCACAATCTGTAACCAAGTCGTTTAAATAACTATACTCTTATACATAAGTTACAGAACAAGGATGTAGCATTGGATTATCAACCTAATTACGGAATGCAGTGAACCTGGGATGGTAGAGTATGATCAGGAAGAAGGAGGGGCTATGGCAAACTATTTCGGTGCGGTGTTCACTCGAGAGCCTCTCCTAGACGAAGAACTAAACCCAAATACGAGGTCGACAAAGAGTCTGCTAACCATGAACTTTCATCGAGACGATGTACTTAAGGCTCTTATCATTTCAGACGCGGAAAGTCAACAGGAGCGGATGAACTGCACCTTGAAATCCCGAGACAAATTGCAGAATATATTGCAGCCCTATTAACTGTGACCTTCAATTTATCACTTGGCCGAGGTGTGTTACCTACGAACTGGAAGGATACAGTCGTCACTCCAATAGAAAAACAGGACCAAGACGACTTTCATCGAATCACAGACCTGTCAGCCTCGCCATCATAGTAGTTAAAATACTAGAAACAACACTCAAAAAGACCGTAAGGATATTCTTGGAAAACAATAGTCTATTAAACATCGAACAACATGATTTCAGAAAAGGTTTACCCCAAACAACAAACCTCTTTATAGAAATAAATAGTATATTTGTAATATCCCAATGAGTAGAAAAATGAGACTTTCTGACGTTTCGTGGCTTAGTGTAAGTCACTTCTTCAGAAGTGCTCAACATATTCAAAATTATCAAATCAAACCTTGGTAGTGATACCTATAAACTCTTCATAGCAAGTAAGCGACAGATAAAGGCTCTAAACAATGGAAAATCAGTGAACGTTGCCTATCAATATTTCAGCAAAGCATTTGATGAGGTGCTAACGAAATTGCTCTTGAAACTGGAAAGCCCTGGCATTGACCGACCTCTCCTAAGATGGCTTAAGGATTTCTTGGTAGGGCGCAGACAGAAAACAAGAATAAATTTCAAGTGCTCCACCTAGAAACCAGTAATTAATGGAGTACCTCAAGGTTCTATCCTAGGTCCTTTACTTTTCATACTGTATGTACATGGACTCCCAAGTATAGTTGAGTCCCCATTGCTGCTATACGCTGATGGTGTAAAAATCTGGCGAGAAGTAAAAGGAGAGGCAGATACCTGAGCACTTCAGGCAGACTTAGATATTGTGATTAGCTTGTCTAAAGTGCGGCTGATGGCTATCCACGCGGCCAAGTATGTCTAAATGCACTTTGAAGATACAAAGGTAAACAGGTACGACAGGGGGGAAGTGCGTGTAACCGTGGTCTGATCTCACAAGGTTCTTGGGGTTATAGTTGCATTAGACCATAACCACACAATTTTCAAAGCTGAACACAAGACTACTCAGAAAATAGATACTCAATATTCAACACGGAGAAATACCTGACAATGGAGAAGGCGCGAAGAATGAATTGAATGGACTGGAGTTGATCGAGTGGCATGGCTCGGCCATGCAGGCGTGGTCTCTGCCGAATGTTACCTTATATCTTCTATTCATATTAAATATATTGTTCTTTCTCTAGCCTAACCTTGTTCTACATCATGTATTGGTAATTGATACGATACAGTGAGTTGGTGTAGTCGATGGTGTGACTTCCACGTAAGATCTTATAGATTAGGCAGTTATATCACGACAAATCTACAAATTTAGGATTAGGTCTATTATTAGAGCAGTACTAATATCATAGTAGACCATAGTTCTACAGGGTGACAGTGATTCATGATCTTAAGACCACATTCCACTGCTGAGAGGTTGTAACTAAGAAGTTTGGAAACCTATGGGTTTAAGACTGACATTCACCAAAATAGATGCTACTATGTTCAATAAAGTATACGCAACCTTAGTGAGAATTAAGCTTGAAAACTCTGTTCAGGCTGCATGTTCCTGTTTAAAAAATAACTCGTATATCTTGTAAAAAGTACAGAGGGCAGCCGCTCGTGCAATTCCAGAACTGGGTTTACCATACAAAGAGCGGCGTGAAAAGCTAGACTTCTTTACTCTGTCCTATCGCAGATTATAAGGTGGTCTTATTTCGATGTGTAGAATACTTAGGAATAATTTTGGACGCTATATATTCTCTCTTTTCCTTCTCACTAGATCGGGACATCTCAAAGGACATACTATGCGGTTAGAAACGTGAAGAACGAACAAAATACCCATGGCATACAGGTTTTAACATCGGGTAACTAATTCTCGAAACCTGTTAGAATAAGCAGATGTGTCCGCACCTTCAGTTGACACATTCAAGAGAAGACAAGACACTCATAGCAACATCGAAACATAGGCTGTAAGACTTCTGTGCTCTGAATTTGAAAAGTCACTGCACCTCACATTTTTCAAACTGCACTAACGAATCCTATAAACACCCCACCATGATTCAATAAAGAGGTTCGCACCTATCTGAGTAAGAGGAGAATAATTCGGGAGATATTTGCTTTACTGAGTACTCAATATGACATTAGATAAGAAAGAAAGATTAGTTCAGCGAAGAGTTCTCTTTTCGGCGAATTCATTTTCAAAGCTGTACAATCGCAAATATATATACTTATTTTCACAGGGTGATAATAATACTGATAATAAACTTATGTTATACATGGTGACAGTGAGGTTAAATAAACAAAGGTATTAGAAAAAAATTTTTTAAAAACAAGGAAAGTTTGATAGTTAATGGCTTAGATATTCATCGGGTAAGAGTAGCCCAGAATGATAAAATAACATAAAATACGGAAACAGAGATGAAATGTAATCGGAATGATCGTTGAAATAAAAACAAACCGGTTGGGGGTACAAGATTTGAAGGGAAGATGGAAGGTGAAGCAGGTGGCTGTAAAAGAACAAGAGTAATGAGAAAGAGAAAAATTTTTTAATACATTAAGACCATGGTAAAAGAAGAGGATGTATCAGTCTCTTTTGTACACATAATTCTGGTTTTTCAAAATGTATGGCTATTGCCTCGGCAATGCAAAGAAGATGTAGTCTAATTGTCTTAGGAAGGCTTCTACTTACCTTGTAGATGACTTTGAACGCAGAGTCTGTCTTGATTGAGTGACCTGTGTTCACAAGGTGTTCGATTATAGAACTTCTTATTGAGGCGCTGCCTCCTCTTCTTAGCCACGCCGGACAATGTTCTTGAATTCTTTTGGATAAAGTACACATCGAACGACCTATATACCTAGCTCCACAAGAGCAGGTAAATTGGTAAATGCACATTGAATTGATCAGATGCGATAATTTATCTTTCAGATTATTGGTGAACAGTGATCGGCTGGAGAATAATATTCGCAATGTTGCTGCGAAGAATGTTCTTTTTAAAGAATCTGAAATTCTCCTCTTTATGATATATGCAGCTCTATCACCTTTGAAGACGATGTTCATGTATAAAATTTTCTTTTCTACTGCAGTTGTTTGTGGTCTTGGCATTTTTGGTTTCATGTTCTTATCAATGAATATGGAAGGATATCCGTTTTTGATAAGTATCTCTTTTAAAAACTCAATTCTTCCTCTACGACCTCGGCGCTACAGATTCTTCGTATTCTTGTGGCAAGAGTTATTATTAAGTTTCTTTTTCGGCTAATGGGAACTCAACTGTGGAAATTTGATAGTTGGCCATTCCACATGGGTTTCCTGTAGATAGATCTTTTTAAAGTACCATCTTGTTTCCTTGTTATATCTACATCAAGGAAGTGAATATCTTCCCTTCAAATCTTGTACCCCCAACCGGTTTGTTTTTATTTCAACGATCATTCCGATTACATTTCATCTCTGTTTCCGTATTTTATGTTATTTTATCATGCTGGGCTACTCTTACCCGATGAATATCTAAGCCATTAACTATCAAACTTTCCTTGTTTTTAAAAATTTTTTTTTCTAATACCTTTGTTTATTTAACCTCACTGTCACCATGTATAACATAAGTTTATTATCAGTATTATTATCACCCTGTGAAAATAAGTATATATATTTGCGATTGTACAGCTTTGAAAATGAATTCGCCGAAAAGAGAACTCTTCGCTGAACTAATCTTTCTTTCTTATTTACTGAGTACTGACGAGAAAAATTCTCAATGTCAAGAATCTCGAAATATTTGTGATTCGACCCTCCGCAAACTTGGAAGATTGAATGTAGAAAATCTTGTTAGGTAGTCTACAGAATACACAAAACGCCTATCATCGTACATAAACCAAAGGACTAAGAGAATAGGAAATATTCCAGCATTATGAGGAGGTAGTAATTCTTCATCATTGGTGGAGGCCGACTATGGTAAGACTCAGGTATTCTCGAATTACTTTAGCAATGTATATATCGTAGAGAAACCTCTTTTCCAGTTCATTCAAACCTTCACACATACACTCTGGACAAAGTGAACATTAATGAACTCGATGTATTCAGTCTACTAAGTAAGCTTGATATAGGTGAATCCACGGTATCCAGTGAAATGCACCCTAGGTTACTAGAGAAACTAGCGAGTTTCACCGCGGATACCTCAAGTTTATGTTTTAATATATCTATATCCCAAAGTCAATTAGCGGAAGACTATCAACCTTCCCATCGAATAATCAACAAGCGAAATCCATCACATGCTGATGTGATGCAAGTTCTTTCTGTAGATGCTTTTAAAAGAGAAGCGGATCTTATGAGAGATGAGCTTTGTCAAGATTATTAAAGGTTACCCAGGTTTCTGACTTTTACAAACTGATAAATTGATCTTTGAATTAACGTTTTAATGCACTGCCAAACTTGACTTTTCTCCTTGACGACGGCTTTGAAAAGTTTTAATTAGGAATGAAATGCCTGTGAAGAGTAAAGCTAGGTTTGTTAACTTTGTAGTGAAACTTTGATAGTTGGCTTCGATTTCAAATATTTTAATCCACATTTTAAAACTTTTACAGCTTTTTGGAGGCATATAATAGCCTCACGGACAAACATTTGGTAAACTATTTTTCTACATCTCGGATGAGACGGCATCTCATAAACAATGGACTGGTAAGTTTACAAAATATAATTTTTTTATTTCATTGTGATGCACCTCCTGATTTTGACACAAGTCGATAATAAGGCAGATATCCATTTATTGTGTTTGTGCGACCTAAGTTATTTAGGTAACTCAAGTTCTTATGATTCAGATAACCACTTTCTTATTCCATTATTTTGCAGAAAATTGAACTGTAATATGATTGCACATAGATTTTGTCCCTGTTCAAGAAGTCCGACATTAGAGTTAAGCTGTTAATAGCTGATAAAATTTTAAAATGAGACAAGGTGACTTTAAAATATGTAATTAATCCAGCATGCTTTTATTCATCCTTATAAACGATAACCACACCTTTTAAACGTTTCTCACATGCCACATTTATTTGTAACAACCGATTTATTTCTAAATTCTGGTAACTGGTCGACTTGAATGGATATTATACAAAGATAGGTGGTTTTTATATTGCAAAAGGACGCACTTGCAAAATGATATAGAAGTAAAACGTAATCTTCCGACAATTTCGTCACATTTTTGAGCGGCTTTTTCTCCAAGTCAAGATAAAGGCGATTGCCCCTGAGTTTACTAAATTTTAATGCAGATTTATTGGTGAGACTTTAATTTATGAATGACCTTTGAGCGACGCCAAAGTGACCTTGTGAGTGTCTACCTACTTACTAGGGCTAAATGAGGGTTATAAATCAGTTCAAAGAATAAGGATTATGATTCACAGTTGATGGTTAATGTTAGGAATTAGATTTTCGGGTTTTCATCACAAACTGACATTAGCTAGAATGCCAAGACGCTATTTGGCCAGGTGGACGAGTGAATTTCGCTCCAAAATCCGAGATCTGTTTTCTTATAACTGATTAGTTCATCCATAAATTATAGTCTTGCCGATTTATTTTACTTGTACATGTTTTTGATTTATCCTGTTATTATTATTCTTGACTAAATTTTGGTTAGTCTTAGTTGGAATATGTGCATCTTGTGTGGGTTTCTTTTATGTGGTCGCTTCGTCACAAGTTATATGAGAGAGATAAATAGTGGTTATCAGTCGAATCAGGAAAGCACGTTTGGTAATATTTGAGATGTACCTGAATCCCAGAGTTAATGTTTACTCTGGAATTCAAACCTAGTACATTTCTCTCAAAACTCTAAACACATTATTCACCTAGCTACTGAATCCATTTAGCAGCCATTGCAACAGTTATATTCTATAAGGCTAGTGACAAAGTGGCTACATTAAAGTAATTTGCATAGTATGCACGTATTTCGACTAAGACTGATCATATTTCAGTCAAGAATATCAGCGACGGGATAACTCGAAAGATTTACAAAGAAGTCGGATTTGTACCTGCTGCAAAAGTAGGTGACTATTTAAGCTCACTAATTATGTGTAGCACGTGCTTAGCATTTGAAGCAAAAGATGCCGTAATTAAATCTCCGATTAAAATAAAAACTAATATTCAAATACATCCTAAATATTACATAACTAGCATTCTGAATTCCATTGCTAACTACAATCTATCTCTTTCCCCCAAAATATATAAGTATCTAATTTAACCAGTATTTATTATCAAGAGCTTCTCAAGCTATTTCCACAGTGATTCAATGTTGTTAAAAACGTTATCTTTATGTGTTAACGTTTTTTGCCGTTTTTTGTAACTTAAAGGTTAAATGGATATTTTTGATAAATTTCTAATCATAATCTGGATTATTCGATGACTTTTTGTCAGTTTTTGGGATTTTAATTATATAATACTGGAAGTGTGTTTTCCGATTTGTAATTACAATTGTTTTAGAATTTTATATACTACGAATCCCTTATGTTGTTAGTGTTACGCTTTTAGATTACAGAGAATGGTGAAGTCATACCGGAATCGGAATATAAAGAGACAAAAATTCGTGAAAATCTAAAACGCGCCTTTTTAGAAGTTATTGCTCATGCTATGGTTGAAAAATCACTAGAAGTAGAACGTTTACGCCAGGGAAAATTACAAAGGGATTTAGAGGAATTATGTCGCTTAAACAGAGTTAAGCGGTTGAGAGTGAGTTCAATTTTTTAATTCGTTTATCCACTTCAGTTTTATAGAACAGTTTTACATTCGATATATTGTAACTAACACCATGTAGTGTCTGATACATATAAACGAAAAATTTGTTTAACTGAGCATACAAACTTTGTCACCAAAAATCCATATTTTGTACCAGCATTCGTCTTACTTGTATCTGCGTGTTCTCTACAACCTAACTTCATCTAAGATAATGTTTCTTGATTTCGCTTTACATATAGGGTTTATATGACCACAAGATATATCAGTTTAAGTCACGGAAGCTAAGTATTAGCTTTTATCAAGATGGAATTTAAATTCTATCGAACCTTACTTTCATAGTTATTTGGCCTTTTTGTACTGTATGAGGTACTAATAAAGTATATTTAACTGCTTGGAATGCTTTCAATATAACTGTATTGATTTTGTGTCGACGTATGAATAGTACCATGTAGTTAGGGGATTTATTATCCTCGCTTGATGGTGTTGATCAAAGATAGTATATAATTTTCGTATCATGTGACTCTGTTAGTAGTATTGTGAACATTCAAAATGCGATGAGTGCATACAGATAAAAAGCTTGTAAAAATATTGCTCGTGTTTTTTTGTACTATTTTTACTAAAGAATAGACTCATAACATTTCTTCACACCAATCAAATAAAAATATTACAAAGAAGTAATGTTTGGTTTCTTGCTTTCATAAGATGTTTGTATTGTTCAACATATTGCGGTTAAAAACAGACTTATTTACTTGGTTACTTACGCCTGCTACTCCTCTTAAGGCATAGAGCACTAACCAGGGAAAAAAAGCAATGCATAGCTATAAATCCTATCCAACTAATTGTTCAGCAGTGATCCGTAGTGCTGTAATTTGGTTAGCACAAGGCTAATTCTTAGGAAGCCAGCTTGCTGATCATGAACTGAGGCGTCCAGTTATTATTTCATTTGGTTTCGCAACATTCAGTTGAGAACTTTGCATAATGAGGCTTAGTAGTGTGGTTCTTTTGTAATTCTCACTTCTTCGGCTATTCGAATGATCCTCTCGGTCTTACATTATGTGGACGTTTCGCTCACTGAAATTAAATGTTACTCTGGCTGCCAAAAAGAAATTGGCCGTGTGGCTCACGAAGAATCTCGGCCCTCACCATCAAGCATCATAACTCCCAGTGCAGATTTCAAATGATTTAGATGACTTTTTATGATTAGGATTCTTCAACGAGGTTTTCAACTTGTTTCCTATTCTTCCTGTAAATTTCATCTCATCGTACTGATTTTGTATTTGTGAACTTGGACTAAAGCACATTTCTTTACTTCCTACGTTCATTATAAAAGGCCTTATTGAATTAACAAGAGGATATTGATTGAGCATATAAAACACCTTGAAGATCCTCTTTAATACAGGATATATATGAGTGTAATTGTTAAACGTTAATAGATACTTGAAAAGTTCTATGAATATTTTCATTCGTTACCAAGGTTTGGACAACTTCGTTTAGATTAATACATCTATTAGTGATCATAGGTATTTCACGTCTAAAAAAAATCAAAAACACATTTTGGACTTATATAAGGGTGTGCTTTTTATATCTTCAATCTGACTAAACTGCTCTTGGTAATACATTATATAAGCAATATTTCTTAAAATAATAAAGACTTTAAAACCCCGAGTTAACTCCATTTAAATGTAATTCCTTACTTGATTTCGTGTTCAATACTTCAGTTAATCCCATTGTAAAGCGGTGGTATAAAAAGACTAAATGTAGAATAAACCGACAGAATATAAATGATGTACTCAATTTAACTGATAAACTATGAATATATAGTGAACAGATGTATATGTGAGTGGCAGTATAAGCCTAGTCAACCTAATTAAACGTTCATCTTATGTATATATATATATATATATATATATATATATATACTTAGTAGTATCATTCTAACTGAAAAGTCAAAGTGATCTAGACAAAATTTTGTCAGGATGTAAAGGAGCTCAGTACTGAGTAGCCTCAAAGTAGTGTCAACTAGTTCTTTCCAATCACATGATTTTCTATAGGTTCCTAATAGGTTGGACCACCCAGACATCAGCTCAAGGTCAAATGATAAATGAGAGTCTCTGATGAGGCCACCCTATTGGTCAATATTTGGCTTTATCTTCCGAGGAAGACAGATATACGCCAGTAATTAAAAATTTGGCTGAGTTAAACTGAGGACACACTTATGTTAACGGATGAGTTTGTGCATATATTGTATTTGATTAACAAATACATTTTCCTGTTCACTCTTGGTCTTCTGACTCAAGTAGCAGGTTGAGCTCTTGTGTAGAAAAAGTGTGTAACAATATCGAAAATCAGATGACCTCTTATCACAATAGTTCAAAAATGGTAGAAATGAAGAATTATTCATCAGGAAACCACCGAAATAAATTTTGTTCTCGTGGTCACTCTTCAGCAACAAGTCCTTGCTGTTTTGAAAAAACTGATGCGTTATGTAGGATTCGACCTTGTGTTATGCATCGTCATAGTCTAAGGCGTTACCCTTACTCTGTTCTACTGCGACTGGTTTCTTATAAGGCCGGTATATTTAGATTGATTAATAATGATAATCATTTTCAAACAATACTCTCTGTGACAGAATATAAGGCGTTGTGTTTCACTATCACAATCTCTCACTTATATCTTCTAATTGGGAACATAATTTGAAAATACATTGAATATTCACTTCTATTCACTCTTATCTCTGGTACCAATCTTACTTTATTGAAATAGACATTTACTGGTAGATGATACTACTGATTACTTAATAATTCCAAACAATCATTCTATACCATACACTGTAGAAAAAAAGTCTATTAAACGTTAACAACTGAAGCCGTGACCAGTGAAGTTCGACCGGGTTTGTTGTGAGATAGTAACTCACTGAAGACAATGATGGACGGTGGCTCAATTTCGTGAACTGGTTGAAGTTAGACATTAACATCGTTGGATGCCGGCTGGCTCAATGGTCTAGGGGTTGAGCTTTTCGCGCACGAGACTGATAAGTCCTGGGTTCGAATCTCGAGAGGCAGGATCGTGGATGTGCACTGCTGAAGAGTCATATACTAGAACGAAACGGCCTGCTGATGTTTCCAGGTTTTCCATGGCGGTCTAACTTCAATCGACTCATGAATTCAGCTATAAAATTGTTTTAATGAGAATTTCTAAGCTGAGATTTATCATCAGCATTTTATCCTGAGATAAATTTTTTTCTCTCTCGAAACAAAAAGAAGAAACGAGAGAGAGAATGAGGTAAACCTTGTATTTGTTTACGTTTGTATTAGGTGCATCTCTGCATGAGTTCATTCTTATTAAATTATAAGTAATATTTCTTAAATCACAAGCATTATATCAAATATATTAAATATTTTATTTGAAAGAGAAGATTGTAAATAGATCAAGTGTTGATCATTTATAAATTACAAAATGAAATGTGTATTATCATTTTACTAAAAATTAATGTATCTAGATCTTCTATTTTGTTCGTTGTCTTTCTTATCCAAGTCTTCCTTTCAATATTCTTGGGCGTCTGTGTCGTTGATACATCTGAAATTAATTGAAGTGAAAGATTCAGCTGAATATCTTGAGTGTGAATCATTTGTTTATCTTTAAGGATTTGGTTTGTGTGTCTGCCGAGAGTGAAGGAGAGTTAGATCTACCTCTTCAAATGCTCTCAAATGGTCCGTGCATGTAACCATTGTCAGGGAAGTCCTACTCGTTGCATTCTTACGCCACGGGTGTTCACGAAATTGAGAGGACGAAAAGAGGATGTCCAGTGCTTTAAACGGGTTCGTGGACACGGATAGTCTATCCGGGGGAGTTAGGAAACCCTGATTCCAAACCAATGGTGTACATGTTCTCCAGTATCCTGAAGAAACAAATGGCGTATTAACCAATCGTTGGTCAACGGCCACCATGGGACTGTATCTGCTTACGTTTCCCCACTGCCTTATGGTTTAGACATTTAGGTCGAAGGCTCTGGTCGTGACTTCCTAATAAAACCACTTGTTTCGGTCTGGACACCCGAGCAGTATTCCAGCCCTCGCACAAATCTTGTCAGATTTGTGTATCTGGTGCCGCCTTGCACCAATATTTATGTGTTCAAATAAATAAATAAAATTGTGTGTCTGATATATGTGCCAAATGTTCCTCAAACTCTGTACAAAACTCTTCCTAATCTTTGTATGATTTTTCCCAATTCCCATCGATTCTTTCCGAGGTAGGACTTAATGAACATGCCATCAAGAGTTGATCATTTATAAATTAGAAAGGCTGGTATTTCTAGAAAGATTATGAAGATACCTTCTAAAATACTGTCATGTAAATTTCATTTTTACAAGGAATGTGTCAGATAGCTTTGTTGATTGTTTTAGAATGAAAATTACAAATATTGTCCAATAAATATGGGTGTTATAGTAGAGGGTTCATTAAGATTTTTGAATCTCATAGTCTACATTACTGACTGATCTTACTTAGACAATCACTAGACAACTATTTTGTCCTATTATGAGACTCCTTCCTAGTACGTATCCACGATCTCATTCAGGATCAAACCAAGCAACTAGTCAAGTTCAACTGTGCCGGTGAGACTATAATTTATGGACGAACCAATCAAATTTAAAATAGCAGGTCTTAGATTTCATCTCAAGATTTTCAAATACAACTTGTTGACAAGTTCGAACTAGCACGAAATCTAGGTCTGGATGGTCCCACCGATTGATTAAAACCATCATGTAAGCTTAAAACATAGTACACACACTGTCGAGTCGCTTAAATTAATAGCTACACTGAAAATTGGTCTATAGAAACCAATCAATAATAAGCGGACTAGACAAACATAACTTTGGTTCCTTCGTAGTCATGATGTAGTTACATGTGTATATATTGGTCTAAGTGTACTAATTATATATAAAATCTTAGAACATGATACAAATCTTCATACGAGTTGATTTTTCGTAGACAGATATTTATAATTTTACAGTTTTAATCTCGAACTGATCTTAGCTAGACTAACATCGAAAGTATAGGAGCACTGGACGACCGTTCAGTCCTTATATGGGACTTCTCAACAGTGCACAGGAATTAAACTTGGGATTTTCGGCCTCTCACGAGAACGCTTAACCTCTAGACAATTGAGCTATGCCGCGTGTAAGATGGATTTCCACCCCAGGGAATAGATGGAAAGTTACGCAAGACTGTGAACTGATTGAGGTTAAACATTAAAACCATTGGGCTCCAGGTCAGTGATCTGAGAGTTCAGCGTTTTCTCATGCGAGACTGAAGATTTTAGGTTCGAGTCCCGGGTGCGGTGTCATGGATGCACACTGTTAGGGAATCCCATACTAAAACAAAACGGTTATTCAGTGCTTCCAGGTTTCAAATGCCAGTATAATTGAAATTAATTCATGATTTAAAACATGAAAAATTTACAAGATCCATAAATCCCCGTATAATAAATATATATTTCTTCAAGCTAATGTAAAATACTCTTATTCCCACTGAACTTCGTCTAATTTCTTTATATTTTTTATAGGAAGAACGTCAACAACGTTCAGAAGAAGCGATACTATCTAAGTTAGTAATCAACAGTCCAAGATCAATAGAGAAATCAGAATTTTTAGAAACACACTACCCAGATAATACGGTAATTATGATTAAGACTAAATTATGTAATTCAATACGTACGATATAGAAATTTATCCCCTTTTTATAGTAGTTATCTGACCTAACTGTAAAACAATGATTATACTTTAGAAATGAGATTGAAACAACCGCGACAAATTTCCAACCAGTTTTTAGCCAATCAGAAAGCAGCTTATATAAATGTATAGTTCGTGAAAAAGAGAACAATAATATTGCAAATGTGAACGGATTTTACCTAATCGATAAATCTATTGCTTTCTTCTATAGGTTACTATGCCTGTAAATCAAAAAGACAATAACATATAAACTCATCCTTATGGATATAGATTGTCCATATTCCTGAACCCTTAAAAAGGACTCAAATGGATTTTTAAGTCCCTACATTGTTTCTACTTAAGGTTAGGTATTTAGGGTCAGGATTAAAAGTTTAGGGCTGGGGTTTCCACCACGAAATGATATCAGGTATAATGTAAAAATGAATTTTACTCAAAAATACAAGAATCGCTATCTGTTTAGCTCATCCATAAAATGTAGTTTGACCAGGTTAAAGTTTGTTTCAAGATTAGTAGTTTAGGGTTAAGATTAAAGTATAGTGTCAATTTTCCTATTATATTCCATCGAAAAGGACAACATTAAGCATTCAATACCTTTAACACTATTATTTTTAAGCAAAGATGGATAGTGGCTTGTAGTGGAATCCAAAACGCGCGTTTTATCCTATTTGGGACTTGCCAGCTGGATGTACCAGCATCTCACCCCATTCCACAAGCAAGTGGCTATCAGGATTCAGTAGCTAAGTGGATAATGAGATGACGTTTGAAGCGAATGGTACTGGGTTTGAGTCCCAGAGCGAACATCAATTCAGTTCCAAATGGGACGAAACGCGCGTCCTGGATTCCACTACTATCCACTATCCTTATTTTCACAACTAATTAATTTCGATAATGTAATGAGAAGACGAAGTTAATCAGAGTTATATGCAATACATTCGGAACAATCTGATCACACATAATATACTTGTTAGGACATTATTCTATGAAAATTAAAAGGTCAACTCGACAGGTTAAAGGTAAGCCGTAACAAAGAAAAAAATATAGTACACAAAAGCATTGTGATAACCACTCTGGAGAATAAATCAGTAGGTTAATTTTGAACGCATAAAGGGGTTTTTAGTTTCCGTACAGCCAAGACTTCAATGAACATTGGTATACATCCCTGAAGACTTTTGTACAACACTAAAAACGCTGACTTGATATCAACCTTATGATCAGTCTCAATCAAATGTTTCGCAATAGAAGATGTTTTCCTACCCTGCGATCTTATTTGACCATTGGAATTCATTTGTTTTCGCAGCCATTTTAGATATGTGTTCACCCACTCTTAATTGCAACTAATTACATTAAAAAATATCAGAGTCAGAATCTTCAATACAAACGTCAAGACAGTTCTACTATACGGAGCTGAAACTTGGAGAACTAACACAACCATCATCAAGAAGGTACAAGTATTTATAAATAGTTGTCTACACAAGATACTCAACATCTATTCACCGGATACCATCAGCAACAGCCTACTGTGAGAGAGAACAAAACAGCTTCCAACTGAAGAAGAAATTAGGAAAAGACGTTGAAAATGGATAAGACATACATTACGCAAATCATCAAACTTCATCACGAGGCAAGTCCTAACTTGGAATCCTGAAGGGAAGCGGAAAAGAGGAAGGCCAAAAAACACATTACGTCGGGAAATAGAAGCAAATATGAAAAGGATGAATAACAACTGGAAAGAGCTGGAAAGGACTGACCAGGACAGGGTTGTATGGAGAATGGTGGTGGGCGGCCTATGCTCTTCCACGAGGAGTAACAGGCGTAAGTAAATAAATAAATAAATAAAATAACCAACTACTATTTACATTTTTATATTATTTTCAGACTAATCAAAATAATCAACAAAAGATAAACAAGAAAAAATCCACAAAAAGAAAACATTCTCAAAAGAATAAACAATTTCATCATCAAATCATTACGTCATCAATAATGCCTTATTCATCAGAATATTCTTATTATTATCGACAACCAAAGTCTCCATTTCATAGATTATCCAATTCTTCAAATATTAAAATAAACAATAAACAATTAAGAACTTTTACTAAACATTCTAAACATCATCATAATAATAATCATAACCAGTCGAAGGATAGAGATATTCAAGGAGATCAACATACAAAAACAATTGATGATTTCCATAATGAGAATACTAGTCATAATGCTTCAGAACAAGTGGATGATTATAATATTTGTCGAAATAATAATAAAGAGGTTAGAGAAGCAAGAAAAACATTGAATCAGTATAGGCTGCCTTCTCAGACTGAAGTAAAACAAGTATGTACATATAACTTTTATATTGATTATTTTGAATGATCTATGAATTCTGCTCATTAACAATCGTTGATGTTGTTCAGTTAAAATATTTATTATATCTGAAACCTCAAGGGATTATTTGACTTGAAATCATGAACTGATCTAAGTTAGAGTATCATTGAAAAACTAGAAGAACTGGTTGGCCGTCTCATCCTAGTATGGGACTCCTCATCTGTGTGTATCAGTCAGTCAGCTACAACATAGGACCAGACACATGTATGCATAGGTTCAAGTTGCCATACCTCATTAAAACAACAAGATGGACACCGGATTCATAGAAGTGGTTAATTGAGTAGTGGTAACATATAAAATAAAGAATGCATATAAGGACATAGTACAGGAAGAAAGAATTAGTTGGTAGAAAGAAGGATATGGAGCGACGCCGACGCCACTGTGATCGATTCTGAGCCATGTTATGATAGTCACGCGGACCCCAACCAACATGGCTCAGAACAGAAGTTAGTGACTTCAAGGACTGATATCACGTTTTGGTTTGACCGCCCCTAACTTTCTTCCAACCATCCCCTACACTAGTTAGCACTGAGCGTCGTGGTAATCGGTGTTTAGGCATACACAACATGTGGTTGATGTATGCTGTGTTTTTGAAACACGCATACAGGATCCTCGTATGGTCATTCACTTGACCTCACCTTGACAAAACGGAGAGCCAACGAGATACACCCTCCGTGTATCTGGCAACCCAATGGCTAGTTACCGTGAACTGGCAAGTGTAGGCATAGCACTAAGTATGAGGGCAGAACAAGCACTATTAGGGTGGATCCCCGTTAGCATTCATCTATGTGCAACCTTTAGACCACTAGCCTGGCATTCAACGATATCAACGTTCAATTGATCTATATCATCTACATATCTATATATCATCATAAGTAAACGGCGACATGTTCACAGAAAGTCTCTACCTAATCTTTTCTACTATCACTGATACTATTAATACTTCTACTACACCAACGCTTATTTTGATAAATTCATTTTGTTGTGGTGACTCGATATAGCAACTTGAATCAATGCAAATACATTCCAGGTTCTAGTTTGCTTATGACTGACTTTTGATAGAAATTACATTATACACACTTCTTAGTCAAAATACTTATATAATAATAAACAGTGAAAAGATCATAGGGTTTCTTCATTATGCTATCATGACCAACTTGTCTAAAAACTTGATATTCGATAACACCAATTTCATTTATATCATGAGTATACTTTGTGTGTATATCTTATCTTACCTCCGGTAATCTAATCACAAATAAGGCTTAGTGGAATGAATCAACTAGCACGAAATGTAGTTTGATATCTTCTTATCGATCACTTCCAACCACATAAGGATAAGTCGTTTATGTATTCTTCGTTCAATAGTATGATTTCGGTTCATTATGATTCAACTGGCCTCTAAATGGCTTAGATTAATTACAGAGGGAATTGTGTTTATTCTTAATTAGAATACCTAAAGGTTAGATGAAATATCATGATTTCCTAACTAAGAATAATTTTAGACGATGAAATTTGATTTATACAGGTTTGTATTTTCCTGTTGTTATGTTAAGGACTAATGTTTACGTCCTATGCGGATCTCCTCAATATTGCCGTTTAGTTAGCTGAGGTTGTTATATTCCATGTCAGGATTAGGAAGAGAGAGAGAGAGAAAAGAAACGCTAAGATACTAATCAAAGTGGAAGGATCGATGACTTAGAAAATAAATTATTTATTTATTATATTCGTTGCATATTTGATCTTAAATACGGTGCCATTAAAAATTAGGTAGCTTTGGACAGCTTCTACTACTAAGAACCTTTTCAAAGGTTTGCATTCACGAATTTGCCAGCAGATTAACTTAGGGTCTCCTAACCTCATGGTGAATGTTTAACCATTAGATCCTCTAGAAAGGCGTCTAATGGTATGGTTCCAACTTCATTCAATTTGTTATGTCGGCCGATGATAATCTAATACAGTTGTTCCACTTCAGACATGTCTGAATTCCACCTGTCACAACTTCCCACTAGAATTTCAGGAACTAGCAAGCAGATTAATACAGCGATTTTGAATGATGTTAGAGATATGAGGGCGGTTATCACTTGCCGGTTTCCTACAGCGTGGAAGGGTTCTTCTAGAGATACCTGGAAAGGAAATTACATCAGAGTTGGTCTTAGTGACCTGAGAGTGTGATCGTAGTGCCTGAGGGACAACTGTTTGAGGTCGGTCACACACAGCCTATTTGTAAGTAATTTTCGTTTTAGCTCCGTACTTGTTGAGACCTTATCGCCAGAGATGGATATCCGTAGGATAAGGTGAGGTGTGCATATTTAGAGTCGACCATTTCTAACCTCACCCCTCCTTGTGGGAAGGCAGCTTGGCTTTTATGCTGGTTGTCTGAACGAAACATTTTACTGCCATCACACCTCTGTACAGCCAGAAGTACGGCTTCACACTCGAACCTTGGGTTTGATTTATTCATTACGATAGGTAAACCTGACTACCACATCAAGATAGCAGCAGCGGTCAGGTTAATATAGTTTTGTGGAGATTGATTTGATTTGTATATCGTACTATTCACTACCTACAACAATGTACCATCTTTTGTTGAGGAGATAATTTAGTCATTATTGAAATTCGTTGCTTAATATAAATGATTATAATATTAAAATAATATAATGAATAGCTATTATAATAACTTTCTAATATTTGTATATAACCATAAATTTATACAATCTGTACTTATATATTCTGAGTACTTTTTCAACCTTTCAACGACCTTAAAATTTACTATCAATTATTGTCTCGCACTGTTTAAGTTTTGAAAAGTTTCAAGTGTAGTATAGGGGGGATATGTGAAGATTGTAGAATTTTCATAGTTTAAATGACAAACTAATTTTCGGTAGACTACCATTAAAAGTATAGAAGTATTGGATGTTCGTTTCATCTTAGTACGGGACTCCTCAACAGTGCGTATCCGTGATGCCTCATCTGGGACTTGAACCCAGGATCTTTAGTTTCTCATTCAAACACTTGAACTCTAGACTCCTGACCTGGGATCTAACGGTGTTAATGTGTAACCTCAATCAATTCACAGTATTGTGCATCCTTCATTCACTCCATGTGGCGGATAACTGTCCCACATACAACATGGTTAGACTCCATTTGCTCAATAGTGACTAGCTTCAAGTTGCGATTCTTGGAGTCTGAATGAGAATCTGTGATCAGTGATATTCATTCATATCGGGTGTTGAATATTTATCCAACTCAGGAAATGGATGGAGATTGTGCATTATCGTAAACTGAAGTCCCACAATAGAATGAAGCAGCAATTCAGTAGTTTCAGGTTTTCATTGATGATCCGGCCAAAATCTGTTCTTGATATAAACTATGAAAAAAATATTTTACATCAAAACGATTGTTACGTACAATATTATTGAATGCTATTAATTGAAAATTTGACTTAAACACTTGAAAGATACATATCTATGTCTATGAATGAGTTTGTATACATATTCCATTCCCCTAGACAATACGGTTTCCTAATCACTCTTGGTTTTTCCACTCATGTAGCTGGTTGGACACGCACATAAGAAGAGTATAAACTAGTATCAAACTCGGACAACTGTCAAAAAACCACAGCGAATAACTTAGTAAATCAACCAATATTTACTGAATGTAGCACTTTAATGAGTTGTTGATTACTCAATAACCGGTGCTAATCAATAGATGCTATTTCAAATCCGATCATGAATCAGTATGTTATAATCCAGTGTTACTTTCATAGATCTCGACGAGCATTGTTGACCGGTGTAGGGCTATGTTAGAAAAAATACTAAATCAACCAAACCTAGATGTGATATCTTGATGGAGTTTTATTCTCTGAGCTGGATAGTTTGGTCAGAGAACAAAACTCCATCAAAATCATCCACTTGACCTACAAATCTTCTCCACCATCTTAGATATGATATCAGTTTATGAGGTCACGATTGTTGAACTGACTCATTAATAGTAGATGAATATTACCTGGTTATAGTCAGCGTGTTTATCATAAATAAAGTTTGGAGACATCATATTAAACGGCTTAGGATTTATTGTGATAGTGCAGATACATTCATCATTCATCTTCTTTGCATATAGTCTCTTTAATTGTTCCCAGTTGGTTTACTGCCTCAATTTATCAACTGTTATTATAACGAAGGAGTACAATGCATATGTACGATTGTTATTATTACTTTTATTGTCGTCATTATTATTGATTAGTATACACTGATCTGAATGTTTAATCAAATGATCATTACTTTTGGAAACCATATTGATTTATCAGTCAGGAAAACAAAATTTGCATCAATTCCATGTTGTACTAAACATGTAATATTGATAGTAGGAGGTTGTAGAAATTGTTGAATGTCATCGAAATCACGAACACATCTAAGGTAGACCATCAATGGAAACCTGGAGGCATTGAATGGCCGCTTCGTGCTAGTATGGGACACCTCAACAATGCTCAACCTCAAATCTGCAACCTGGGATCGAACTCGCGAACTCTGACCTCATGCTCAAGCTCTTAACCTTTTAGACACATGAGCCGGAATCCAACGGTGTACACGTCCAACTTTAATCAACCCATGATGTTGCTTGGTCATCTATTGGTTTCGATGGGTATCTTCCTTACATTCGACATGGTTGAACTCCACTGGTCGTGGTCACTTACTAGGACATCATTGGATCCCGGCTCAGTGGTATATATGTTGAGCGTTCGCGCACTATACGGAAGGTCGTGATTTTGACTTGCGGAGTAGAGGATGGGCTCTGCTGAGGAGTCTTATGATAGATTTTTAATTGTTGTTTGACTTAAATTGACTTGTGATTCCAATGGACTATAACACTGAGTAAAGTTTCTATTGTTTTTATCATCAGCTTAGTGAAAAGAAATTACAAGGGCAAATCCCAGTGTACTTAGAAGCAATAACAGAAAAGAATAATTATGGACAGTTTAATTCGATAAAAATCCGCAGAATAAGACGTATAAGATAAGTTTGGAACTGATGATTGAAGGAAGGATCAAGTAAATGAGTCTAAAGCACTGTGACTGATTCTGAGTCATGTTACTCAACTTTTTGAACTATTGGTCACAGTAATTGGGCAGACCCTAACCTGGTAGTCTGCATCTACCAACACAGTTCATGTCAACAGTGGATGAATTTATGAAATCATGCTATGTTTTGATTTGACGACCCCGAGCTTCCCCCCAATCCACTCCTACGTTAGAAAACATCGCTCAGTTGATGACAGTTTGCGATCTTACCAACCGATTTGTCATCTTTGCTAGATATCTTTATGCTCGATGTTAATGTTGTTCATTAGATCGTCATCATACACAGAAAATGTTTCAAAGTCATCTATGATCAAATCCTGACGACCCAAAAATATCGTCTACTTTCATAGATTATATTTCATAGATATGAGAAAAAACAAAACATCTTACTTAGGACGTATTCTCACCCTTTAATTGACAAATAGACATCTCAACAACGACACAAGTAGACTTCAAAAGACAAAATAATCGACCTAGAAAATGTATTTCCTTTTGAATGATTAGCACATATATTCGATTTATGGGTCACTTATAAATCTAATGGAATTAAGATGCAACTAACGACCTCGATTCTTATTGATCAAAATGATTAACATAATGGCAAGTGTTATCACTGTCACTATAGAAATAAACATTATTAGTCGATTCACATGTATTTGCACTTAATAGTAAATTATTAATATTGTAATTTTCATCATTCACTAATGATATCAACTGAAGTAACATTGAAGTCCAAGTAATGTATTATATCCCACACACGGAAATCGAACTCAAAACCTATGGTCTCTCGCACGAACACTTAACCTCTAGATCACTGACCCAACAACGTTATTGTCTGATTTTAATCAATCTGCGATGTTGTTTGATCATCTTCCGTTGTCTGTGGTGGGTAACTGTCTCACATCTGACACGTTGAACTCTATTGGTGACGGCTTCTCACTAGAAATGCAAGATGGAGGATGAGCATTACTGAGAAACCCCATACTAGAACGAAACGGTCGTCCAGTACCTCCAGGTTTTTAATGGTAGTCTAACATTAATCGGTTCATGATTTCAATGGGACTCAATAATCTCCATAATCTTACACTTATATTATACATTTAACTGGTTTGGACATTGATCCGTTCATTAATTTAATGAGTGCCACTTATAAAAGGGTAATATTCACTGAAGGCTACATCTCATGTGTCTAGAGTTATCTTCAACTATTGGCTATGGGCATTTTAGTGTAGAACAACTCAACTTCCAGGATTGAAAAACATACTAATATATTGGAAATTAGGTCTTGGAATGAAATGTCTATGTTTCTTAACCAATGTTAAAGTATGATCTTTTTTAGAAGGAAACATCCTGTTCATACCGACGATGTTGAGCATATGAGATGGGTACTTACAAACAGCTTACATTACAACAAAAATCTGGAATACAGCGGTATTTCCATCTATTTATTTATTTTATCAGTCTAACTAAACTGAGTTAAATGCATCTAAGCACATATTAATTCATGGATATCACAATATATCTATGTATGCTAATTGTTAATTATCTCAGTAACTATGGTATTAACAGAATAGAAAGCATTGGTATACATAAACGATACGAAAGTAAAAACAGATGTATCTGAGTAGGGCTTTATCATGCAATAGAAATTATAAAACAAATATTTTATTAATATCAGAAGGGGTTTTTGTGAAGATTTTAGTAATTTTATAGTTGAATTCATGAATTAATTGAATCTAGACCACCATGGAAAACCTGGAAGCACTGAACGACTGTTTCATCATAGGATGGGACTCCTCAGTAGTAATGCACATCCACGATCCCGCCCCTCAAGACTCGAACTTAGAGACTTTAGCGTCGCGCGTGAATGCTTAACATCTAGACAACTGAAATTGCCGGCATCCAACGGTGTTTTTGTTTAACTTCAACCAATCCACGAAATTGAGCGACACATCTACCACTGACATTAACACCATTGGATGCCGGCCGGCTCTGTAGTCCAGTGGTTAAGCTTTTGCACGCTAGACTGCTAGATCCTGAGTTCGAATCTCGCGGGGCAGAATCGTGGATGCCCACTGACACTTAGAAGTTTCATACTAGAACGAAATGGCCGTCCAATGCTTCCAGGTTTTCCATAGTGGTCTAGCTTTAATTGACTCACGAATTCAACTATAAAATTACTAAGATCTCCACAAAACCCCTTCAGATAATCAATTTCTCTTCACAGAGTCATAATTGGTACATTGATATCTATTTTCTTATTCTGTTTCGAGTCAATATGACTCTACAGAACATTAAAATTTTATACTTTTTTGTTTTGAAATCAAATTTTCTCTTAGACTTCATGTATTGTCAAATTTATGTATCTTGGTATATCAAGTACAGAAGAGTCAAAAATACAACATACAATTGATCAACAAAAGAATAAGAAAGAAGAAAAGAATTCTATGAATAATAATAATGATACTAATCAATCATTGTCACGTTTAATCACAGTAATTCAACAACCAAATGGTGGTAATACACATACTCTTTTTAAAGGTCTACTTCAACCAGGTGGTAAGAATAACAATTTATGAAAGTATACTTTTACTACTTATATGTGAAAATTATATTTGGTATAATCTCAGTGATTGAAAGTTGAATAATTTCAACGTTTCGTCCAGCTAACTTGTATGGACTTCTTCAGAGTAATAATCGAGATCAAAATCATCTGAAGAAGTCCAGACAAATTAGCTGGACGAAACGTTGAAATTATTCAACTTTCAATCGCTGAGATTATTCCAAATATAATTTTCACATATAATGACTTCTCTTTACTCGACGCCCAATTTCTGTTTAATGTTTTCAACATCTGAATAACTAATTATTCTTATGTTTTGCATAACAGTTATTCTTTACGTTATTTTGAATTTCGCGGAAAAATTCAAGACGCGCTATTTTAAATGTGATTAGTTCATTAGTAAGGAATATTCCTATCAAAAAGATCTTTAATAATTATTTTTTGATATTGAAATATTACTATTTTGGGATTCAATAGGTCACCTGTTTAGATTTAAGAATAAAGTTTTAATTTCGATCCAGATAACTAAGATTTAACAAGAGTCAGAATACTTGGATGCCCCCAAATGCCTTGTTACGGCAGAGGGTGGAGAGAACCCACTCTCTCCTTCCCTTTCTTTCTTTCTCTCTCGAAATGATCTCACATGGTCATGTGTATACAACCACTGCCAGGGAAGTCCTACTCACTGCCTTTTAGCGAAGGAGGTGTTGTTTATGAAATTGTCCGGCGCTTTGACCGGAGTGATGGACACAGAGAGTCCACCTAGGGGAGTATGAAAACTCTGATTTCAAACCGATGGTACACATGAGCTCCAGGATCCTGAGGGAACAAAAGGCTTATGAACCTACTGTTGATTACAGGCTACTATGAGACTACATTTCCTAAAGTTGCTTCACTGCCATGTAGACTAGACTTTTACGTTGATGGTTCCGGGTATGAACTCCTAAGTAAACCATCTGTTTCGGTCTGGGCACCTGGACAATATCACAGCCCACACACAAATCAATGATAACTGCTACTGACCTCATTGTTATGGTGTGTATTTGGTGCCCCCTTGTACTTATGTTTATGTGTCAAATAAATAAACTTGTATGTCTACATTTTATTACTTGACATGCATTTGGATCATCTTACCTGTAAGTAATTAGTCCAAGTAGATGAATTATTCTTTATTTAAACCATTTGACAAGTGATTACTGTTTTCGCTTTAAAAGAAGTTGAATTTGTTTTGAAAAGTTTCGTCTCGATTTCAACGAGTTGGTCTATATATGTATGTAATGGAGATATTGGTTACATAATTAAGTTCATTTGAAACGTCTATCATAGGCTTCAGTTTGTTACACTAATTTGAAATATTTTCGCGATGAAATAGTTAAGTAACATTTGAATCTTAACACTATGATGTGTCTGATGAATGTAAACTGTGATTGTTTAAAGAGCGATGATAGATATAACCAGTAATACTAAATATCTTATTTACTATTTGTTTCAATCTGTTTCACTTGTTGACTACTTTGCATCGTATGTTAATAAACTCTCATTCTGGTCCATATATAGTTCCTAATCGAAAGGAAAAATGACTTTGTTCAGTATATCATGGATCGAATATCATAATCTATTTATCTAGTGCACTGTCTAGTTCTTAATGCTAGAAATCTGAATAATTCAATTCTTTATCTATTCGAATACAACAAGCTGTTAGTTCTCTTAATACAAACTTTATTTCATAGAGAAAGTAAGGGACTTTTTCAACCCTGAGATAGTTTTCATCTCGAACTGACAACAAAATAAGGCGGATCATTGAAAGTTGTGACACACTGAATATCTACATCATCCTAACTTGGCCCCCGAATGCCCTAGTACGGCCGAGAGTAGAGAGAGTCCGCTCTCCCTCTCAAAATGCTCTCACATGGCCACGCCTATATAGCCTCGGCCAGGGATGTCCTACTCACTGCCTTCTCGCACCACGGGTGTTGTTTACGAAAATGAGAGGACGAAAAACGAATGTCCGGCGCTTTAACCGGATTCCAAACCAATGGTGTACATCGGCTCCAGAATCGTGAGGGAACAAATGGCACATGAACCAATCGTAGGCCATCGGCTACCATAGGACTGCATCTCCTTACGATGCTCCACTGCATTGTGGATCAGACCTTCAGGTCGAAGGCTCTGTGTGTGACCCCCTAAGAAAACCACCTACTTCGATTTGGGCACCCGGGCAGTATCACAGCCCTCACACAAATCTCATTTGATTTGTGTGGCGCATATGTATTTGGTGCCTCCTTGTACCAATATCTATGTGCTAAAATAAAATAAAATAAAAATCCTAACTTGTTACTCCACGGAAGTGTGCATCCAAACCCCCCTTGAGATTAAGACTGTGGTTGTTATAAGTGTGTTAACATGACGAGTCTGAAAACGGATAAAAAAACACATCCTAAATTACATAGTCACAAGCGAAAACTACTACGTAGGTGCCTCAGTAGTTATTATCTGAGTGTTTCATACTACTTAAATAATTTAATTAGTAGTATAACATAATACAGCACTATTGTTTTCACATTTTGATTTCTCTACAATTAATCCAGATACATTCCAGATTATTTCGAAACGAGTATATGGTTTTCCGTTTTCACTAACTATTTATGTTGATGGTACACAGGATACACGTATTAGTGCATGTTGTGAGTATCGGCATAGACAAGGAGCTCGTATTGGTGGAAAACATGGCCATTTTGTCTATTTATCTGTTGAAGGTTCATTTCCATGCTTTAGGTACGTGAAACATATTTATTCATCTACTTGATGATGGTTTACAAAAATAATTTGAGAATCGGTAACAGATTAATTAGCTTGTCAATGTTCTGTGGGAAAATCTCTACAAAATCCCTTTTCTTGATGATACCAAACAGTCAAATCTTAATTCGTTGAGAAACGAAGGACCTACAAAACTGAGATCCTGAAGTCATTTATTTCATCCAACCATCATTAACTCAGGACATTACCTTTTAGATCTTAAAGTCAGAAATCAGTGTTTTACATATTCAACTTGAGTCATTTAACGATATTTCACAAGCTTTGTCAGTTAGTAAAGTAATTTATGGAGAAATCAACCAAACAAAGCTGTATGACTGGATCTGTTAACAGTTTTTATAAGTATTATCAACAAACTACAACTGATTGGTCACTGAGTACTGAACTATGTTATGTTTGTCCAATTATTTAGTGTTAATCGAATTCTTTTGATCAAGATACACTGTGGCTACAAGTCAAAGTCATCCGACATTGTGAACCATGTTTTTTTATTACGTGATTAGAGATAATCTACATTACACACTTCTTGACCTGAATTTCATACAAGTTGGTATTCGTCAGTAAGTCATACGAGAAAATATCTCAGTTATGATAAAGGTTAGCTGCTGGTTGAATATCTCAATGGTAACAGCTCAGACTGTGAAGGTGATTGATGTAGATTCGAAATTACAGGTGTTCTTTGATGTCAAGTAACAAAAACAGCAAAACCTAGGCCCAGGGTATCTTGTCCATTATTCCAAACGTTGCCAACAGATTCTTTTCAAATTTTAGAAAATAATTTACTTTTTGTTATGAACTATGGTCTTGCTAAATATCACATGACAAAAGTCATCAATCAGAATATCGATTTCTATGACGCCGTCCCTGAGCTAAACTAATAATATGTCAAAAAGCATTAGCATCCCTGAGTCAACTCTGAGTCCTTATTGGCCCTCTGCATATAATAGCTTCTCGCCTATCCCAGCCCGTTTAGTCCAGAGTACAAGTATCAGCCTCCTCTATTTGAGTCATATGTTTTAAACATGCTTAGTTTGTTTACAAGCAGATCAAACCACATCACATCATGAAATGCAAAATAATCATTATACATGATCAAACCAAAAGTGGTTATGGGTAGAAGAGACTGTATCTAATAGATTAAGACTAAATTAAAAATGGTAAATTATATTGCAATAGCTAATAGGTCAAATGAAAGGAATATGAATATACCATATGATCTAGTTACTTAATACTTATACAACAAGAATATGTTCATAATAGTTCATAAATAATTCCCGGAGGTTACTATTCACTTATTGTTATGTCCTTGGACTGTCTACCCACTTTTGGTGCTGAGGATACTTACTTAATCCAGATTAAAGCCTTGGTGCAATAAGCTGAGCGAATTAACTTTGACGCTAGTATGTGTGAGTTCGAAATGGGGTAGAGAGAAGACAACTATTCTATCACCTGATTGGCTGACAAGCACGCGAATGAGAGAAGACAAGACAACTGAAACACTACTCGATCTATTCCCGATTTCCTGATTTCCGGATTAGTGTAAAAAGGTACATGAATAAATAGGTGACTAACCCGACCACAACAATTATGTCCAAAGCTGGGAATTAGAGTAGAAAATAGGGTGCAAAATATTATGTTTAAATTACAGTAGCTTCGGAACAGAAAAGGGTACGGCAATGAATCATATATTAAACAAAAGCTTATGTTCTGTAGAATAGATTAGGGACAAAATAAATGTTAGTGTTTTACAAGCTTTGAATAAAATGGAGTAACATCCCGAAAAATAGCTTTCGTAATTTGTCAGGGCTTCTTGTTTCCCTGTTCACATCACTTATTCTTTGTTCGAACATAATGTGTTTAGATGTCGAGCACTTAAAAAGCTGAAACAACGACAACAACAAGAAAAGATGAAAAGAAAAGAAAAATTCACCGCTGATGAAAATGATAACAAAATACAACAGGAAGAAGCAGATGAATATGACAATAGTGATGATTTGAAAGGTAATTCAATGAAATTTCATGTTACTTTCAGTGAAGATTTGAATTATATACTGATTCACTAATAATCAAGGCGGACTACTTGGATACCTGAGCTACCTATTCCTGGATATTTCAACAAGTTATCTGTTTTCTTGTGTGTTTTAACACATCATTATACCTATTAGTCTCATAACCTATCTAGGTGTATTTGTAAAAAGTTTACATTTCGCTTTACAAGTTATAAAAGAGCTCATTAAGAGACATCTTGATTGCTGGCAATATACATCGAAAAGTATGTAAATTAATCAGATGTCGATTCCTGAATTGTTAATATCTAACTGGCACAACCATTCATTGTTTATCATCAGGATCGACCAAGAAGTAAGAAACGGAAACTAGTTGGAATACATAATGCTAAGAGTTCTATATTGTACTAAAAATATGATATTGAGTAAAGCCACCTGTTGTGGATGCGGAGGAATAGACCAATAATTATCATGTTAAGTCCAATGGTGTCCTTGGACTTTAAATAGACATTTCCTATTGGTCGATATCTGTTCACTTGTTGAATATTGTACAAAATGTTGTTTTCTATTTTATGGTACGATGTGGTCTGCTTGACTGGTATATAAACAAAGTATGTTTGAAATATAATGATTCATATCTCCGAGGCTGTGGCTTGTGTTCTGGACTCAACTGACTGGGCTAGACAGGGAAGCGCAAACCAATCGAGACTCTAGGCCGTCCGTCCGTGTTTACGTGTCATTGGATCGATCGATAAATACGCTGTTCTTTAATCTCTTCAGTCAAGGACACAACAATTAGCACAGGGTAAAAAACGACCCAACTTAAAGTCATAACACCACCAATAATAATAACAGGATAAACATCATAAGTGTTAAACTCACTGGATAGTCTTTTAATGTTACAAGTTAATGTTTGACAGGTTCCTTTCTCAATATTGAGCATTAACATTGGAATATAGATATATTTAGCTAACTAGTCTTAAATAGAAATAAACACATATCCAGGATTCTTTAATTGTTTGGATGATTCTCAAAAAGTTGACAAATATCCAAAATTATTTATGATCAGTTCATGTTTTTGTTTTATGACCCTATATCTGACCCCAATTAGATCGTATGAATGATTTCTATCGAAATATTTGTACATATCATCAATCCTCGTATATAATCATCGACTTAAATCGCGTTAATGAATAACGGAGTTAAATAAGTGAAATACGAGAATGGATGTTTGAATACGTATATTTTGTACACTCATTGATCGGAATAGACAACCAGAGAATCGCATCGAAGAAGGAATAGTGAAGCGAAACAAAAGGACACACAGTAGAGAAGGCGTGTGTACCAACTCCCTAAGCGATAGTTACACCACTGAGAAGTTTGTTCAACTCTTTGTTATTGCAGATGACCAGTTGTAGGTGACGAGGGATAATACAGGTCATCTTTTTGTCACGAGCGGCAATGGCAGCTAACTCGAGAAATTCATCCGCTAGGTACCTGAGGACAGCTACCAAATAAACAGGTAGATCAGCTCCGACACGTTCTGAGTAAGAGGCGATGGAAACGATCAACTAGGAACACTAAACCATCACGGGCTGATCACGTCGGGCTCACGACTTTAGTGAGATCCGTCATGAATAATCATAGGTATTTCAATAACATTTATACAAACTAATTGGGACACATAAGTGCCCGTGGACAACATCATCCGATCTAATTGACGTCTAAATGAAGGACCACACTAAAGTTTTTAGAAAACAGTAGAAGTTAACACACTTTAACTTCTTTTTAAATTTGGTTAGTCAAGTGTCAACTCTTGAGTAATATCTTCCAGAATCTTCTTTCAGGATTCCTAGTGATCTCATAGTTGTATTTTTTACTTTTTTTATAATGAAATTAATGTTGAAGTGATTCATTCAATATTTTTTACTTACTGATTTCATTTGAAATTCGATTGTTAAAGTTTCTAACCTATGAAAATTCTACTATACTAATAATAATCGTGGGCTTACTAATGGCTAGTTTCAAGATGCATTTATTGAAGTTTTGTGGAGGAGCAATGACTAGTAAAATCTAATAAAGACAGTTAATCAACCTTAGGTAACGGGTGAAGTATGTTAAATGTCATGGACTGATTGAAGTTAGTCAGTAACACTGCGTGAATGCCAGCTCATTGGTCTAAAGGTTAAACGTTTGTGTGCAAAATTATAGGTTCTGGGTTTGATTCCCAGATGCGAGTTTTTGGACCCACTATGTTGAGGAATCCCATGCTAGAATCGGACGACACTTCAATACTTCCAAGTTTTCAATGATAGTTCCGCTAAAATCAATTAAAACTATGAATGATTCTAGTGATCTAAGAATCGGCTAGTACGTTAGTATTTTAATCGTTCACTTTAAGTAGTTTTAATATCCAAATGATCAGTAGTCATATATATATGGACAGAAACTTAAGATATCAGCTAATATATCACATTGCAATTAACAATTTCAACGTAATTATCCAAATTTGTAATGATAACGATGAATTCAGCTTTATCAGGATTCCCATGACCATCGATCATTCTGTGTCATTTCATTGTTTCATTTTTTTTTATTATTCGATCCTATCAGTCAGCCATTTTATTTAAGTAATATTCATGTTTACTTTTCTAAAATTCAGTAGTATATAATTTTAAACAAAACTTTCAAACTCTACTATTTGTTTTTCAAATTTATGGAGTTTATGAAGATGATTTTGAAACAGAAGACAAAAAAATTAATGAAGATGGCGATTACAATGAAGTAGAAGAAGAAAAATTGGAAGTTGTTCAACCATCAGGAATAAATAAAGTAGATATCATCACATTGAATCGTGAGAATACACTTTCATCTATTCACAATAATGATTTCGGTAATTATTATTGGCATTTATTTATTTATCTTCATATCACGGTTTAAAAGAGTAGGGTACCTTAAACTATACTCATATATATATATATATATATATATATATATATATGCCATGCAAAGCAGTTATTAATCAACTCGTGTACGGTCTGGTATACTTCCCAAGTGCCCAAATCGAAGTAGGTAATTTACTTAGGAGGCCACACCCGTGCCTTTGACCTAGAGACCTTATCCAAAAGGTAGTGCGTCAACGTTAGAAGATGCAGTCTCTTGGTACCCGGTGACCAACGATAGATTCATACACCATTTGTTCTTTCGAGATTCTGGACCCTATTTGCAGCATTGGTTTCAATTAATGTTTTTCAATCCCCATAAGTGGTTGTTTCATGTCAACCAACCCGGTTTGTGCGTCAGATAATAGCTTTTCTTCCTCTCAGTTTTGTAATCAACAACCTAGCAATGGGAAGGCAGTGAGTAGGACTGTTGTAGTTTGCAGAAATTGTTTTGAAATTCCTGATAACCTTTTACGTGTCATTATTGTTAACCTGTGTAAATTTGTCTTCGAGATAATTCCTGAGGCCTCGTATATCAATCGCCCCGATAACCGTTAATAAGTAAATCCCAACAGTGTATGAATTCAGAAGACAACATAAAGCGCTGACCACAGATGATTATTGAATAGCACATATCACTAAACCGCAAGCACACCATACGAATTCGAACAGAAATGCTAATACGAGCTAGCGGATATAGAGGCAAATTAACAGTTGAGTAAAGGTTCGAATGAAAAGTCGAGTCACTTAATAAGATTCAAGCATATATATACTGCTGTTTAATAATTAATATTTTTAAAATCTTTGGCTAACTATGTACCCCTATCATTATTCTGATTATCATCGTCGTAAAATATGGGGAAAAATCACAACCTTTCATAAGGAAGTGTTTAAGAATGCGATTGTTCAGTCTCTCTTAGCATATATGCATCCTATGAGTATCGCCTTGATATTGCCACTACGTTACAAGGGGATACATCCAGCTGAGGAATCCCAAATAGGACTAAATGCGCATCCTGGGCTCCACTGTTAGCCGGCATCCATCTTTGCATATAGTTCGCGAAATAAAATGACTTGCGAAATCAAATCGTCAACTTTTTTCGTGGTTTTTTCATTGAACAGTTGAAGTAAACCAGATAGAAGGATACTTATTTAATTACTTACTTACTTCTGTTACTCCTCGTGGAGGAGCATAGGTCGCCCACCACTATTCTCCATACAACCCTGTCCCAAGCTGTTAGAGGTTGGAGACTCTTGGTGACATGGCTCAGAATCGATCACAATGGCGTCGGTGTATACACTCCCTGTCTTCCCTTAAACTAAGAGATTAAAATAACTTCATATCTTTCTTTCTCTATATGCAATCTTTCTCCTATATATTACCACCTTTGACCTAACCACTGCTATGAATCCGGTGTTCATCTTGCTGTGCTAACGAGGTATGGCAACCTGGACCGATGCACATATGTGCCTGGTCCTACGTTGTAGCTGACTGACTGACTGTCCCAAGCAATCCTTTCCAACTCTTTCCAGTTGTTATTCATCCTTTTCATATCTGATTCTATTTCTCGGTGTTATGTGTTTTTGGCCTTCCTCTTTTCCGTTTCCCTTCAGGATTCCAAGTTAGGACTTGCCACGTGATGAGGGTTGATGATTTGCGTAATGTATGTCTTATCCATTTTCAACGTCTTTTCCTAATTTCTTCTTCAGTTGGAAGCTGGTTTTTTCTCTCTCACAGTAGGCTGTTGCTGATGGTATCCGGTGAATAGATGTTGAGTATCTTGCGTAGACAACTATTTATAAATACTTGTACCTTCTTGATGATGGTTGTGTTAGTTCTCCAAGTTTCAGGATAACATTTGACTATTTCAAACATACTGAGTGTTGTATTTTGCGATGGTACTTTTGATATCCGTGGGAAAACCGTTATCTTTTTTATAAGTAAGGACACAATTTGTTACTTTCTACTATTGATAGGATAAAGTTTGATATTATTCAACTGAGGGAAGAAAACAAGCCTGTAAATGAAGATTTAGCTATGTATCATACTCTAATTTACAACGAATGCAACCATTGAGTCCACCACTGATTCAAAAACTATGCTGCTGTGTATGATTTACAGAAATTGTTATAATCCCCTCTTATTACGACCCAGATATTCCTATTGTTTAGTAGTTTTGGACACTGCTTTACTCAACAAGTCCCCAAATCAGAACATGGTTGAACAGGAACAAAATTATATTCCAAATAACAAGGGTAAATGAAAGTAGGAACTACAATAAGAAAAATGTTTGTATATTTATGCTTTTTACACGAGAAGGTTCTAGAATCTTCTTTAAGTACCCACTAGCTCTGATTGGATAATAATTAGCCAATCAGAGTGCCCCAAGATATTTCTACACGGAACGTGCTTTAACCCAGTCTATATATTCCGCTAACAGAACTGGTGGCTATTAGGCAAGTATGAATATATTGAATATTGAACAAGGCAGTATATGATACCGTGGTGTATGCTACTTATATCTGCCGACATAAGTAGTACGTAACATCAATCAGAAGTGCAATGCCTGGCATCAGAAGAGTAAGAAGATCGCATTGATATAGATAGGAATGGTGAATTGGAAGAATTATACAGAATGTTAAGAATAATTGATGAAAGATTTTCAAATGAAGTAATTAATGTATGATTTTCACATTTTACGAAAGAACTCTGTAATTTTGCTTTAAACAATAAATTGGTCTTCCCCAATTCATTACAATATATGTTGGAAAGATTCAGAAAACTCCTCAAAAAAGAGCCAAGAAAGGCTCTGAAAACACCGAGAAGCATCTTATCCTATCAGTGTTCACTAGACGTTTTGTCAAAAACATCTAGAAAGTGAAAAGTCACATGTCGAGTTTCTGATTGAATGATTACTTATACTGCTACTATGTTTAGTAGCATTCCAGAATTTCCCGGGAACTCGAGGACATCTAAAATACTATAAAAATCCTAGATTTTTTTGTACATGAACAAACCTTTGGAGTAAAGTGTTTCTTCCACATTTCGCGCCTTTCCTCTTGTGTCCAAGTCGTTGTGTAGATCTAGCCTCGGGGTTACTAGAAAAGCTTAGGAACCAAATCTAGCGTTCAATTAGCGCAGGACTTATCAATATGAATTACTCAATAACTAATTACGTGTTTACAAATTAGAATGTTACTAGATTTAACAGTACAGTAAATCACTGAGTTGCATATTCACTTCTTTCTGAAAACTTCAACAATATTTATTGAATCTTCATCAACCTTTTTATTTTAACCATAGGATGGTAATTCAAATGTGACACGTGTTACGTATGCCCAACCACCGACTGCCTCGACGTGCGATGTTCAGTGGTATAGGAGTAGATTGGAAGAAAGCTACAGGCGGCCAGACCAAAACATGACACAAACCCATGAAGTCACTGACAAATTGACTGAGACATTTTGGTAGATGTAGACTACCTGGTTGGTGACCGCGAGATGATAGCAACCGATGGTTAGAGACCCTGAATGACATGGCTCAGAATCGTTTGCAATGGCGCAAGTGCATTCATTCTTTGTGATCTCCCAAATTCTAATCTTCTGAATTCTTCATTTCCTTTATTTTCTTTCCAAATTTATTTAACTGGATTGTACTCTTTGAATAACATCTTCAAACCCTAATCTTTGCGATTACAGCTTATACTCTTACTACCTCTACCACGACGGAATTTGAGTCGACAACTGCATCTCTGTGCTAATGTGGTATGGCAACTTGAACTGATGTATATACATACGAAGTTCTGAGTTGTTACTGACTGACTGACTGACACAAATGCACGTTTTTAGTCGATCTAAATGATAAATCATAATACAATTCTATTTAAATTGATGTATTTCAAAATATTGTTAACAGTTCTATATCATTTTTTTTAAATTTACAGATCCACTTAGTTCTTTGTCGACAATCTCAAGGCATGTAAGTTTTCTTAGTGTTCATGTTGTGAGGAGTGGTTTTCAAAATCTGATACTAATACATGGTGTGCTATGCGCTTCTCACCCCCCCTCCTCAACACAAGAGTGAGCGAGAAATTATATTGGATGAAATGCACTTATCCTTCAGGTCATTTCTGATTACTATCAGTCGACTTTCTCATTAAGCTACTTCTGGTTAACTCTCGACATCAGTTCACATTTAATTTAGAAGAATTTTCTATAAAACAAATAAGATTGAACTCAAATTGGGGTGAAATCCTAAGGTAATTTAAAAATTGGACAGGATATTTTTCAATTTAATAGAGGGAATAACATAAGAGAACTGATTCTAAAACTCTTAGACCAAGTCATAACATAATTGAATAAACATTTATGACTATTGTAGTGAACAAGAACACCAGTGGGGAACAATCGAATGTATTTAATACAAAATTACAGGACTTGTTCATAAAATCTAACAATCATAAAGTAAATGCTTAATTTGCAAAATATCCATCGATTGTCTCATAATGACTTAGACTTCATTATTCTTGCATTTTCATACAAATTGCATTCTATTTCCATTCTTTACTGTTCGATTCTCTTGTGTCTCTGCTGCCAGACCTTCTGTTTACGACTAACATCATATACTACTTATGTCAATATAAGTAGCACACACCATGCTACTAGTTTTCGTAAATGATGAACTTCATGACTTACAATTCAGCATACTTCAAAGATTTTAGAGGTTTTTTTTATCAAACTGTTATCCGTAAGCCCTAGTTCAGATACTTTTTGCAATTTGTTTCGTTAGTTCATCGTTGTGTATTTAGCTAATCTAAGCTGTGACTGATTAACCAAAGAAGATCGACAACGAGTTTTTGATTAATGATTGGATACTGAAGTCTGTGCTCTTCTTTACGGTATAACACATACCCATGTCTTTCTTTTTCTTTATCTTGGAGTGACAGACAACCTCGACGTCTGTTTGAATAAATTAATAGTTATCTGAACTCATAAATTCAGTAGTTAACGCATTGGAGTTTAAAGATACCGGGCTCAAATCTCAGTGTGAACATCAGTAATAGGATTCTGGCATATTGCCAGCTGACGAATCCCAAATAGAAAACAAAACAATCATCCTTGATTCTACCAATAACCGAATGCTGAATGTACTAAATATGATCATTTTGTGTTTGCTTTTTGTGAAACATTACTGGCTACTTTAATTGTACTGATACAGTATAAAAATTAATATTTTCTTTCCATTCTTCGAATTATTTACAAAGTTCTTGTTATTCTTATTCACTTCGTGTTATTTTACTTGTGTCTTCTCATTGTAATTTACGAATGCAATTGATCAGTCTCATGTTGGTATATGTGCATCCTATGCAGATTGCCTCGATATAGCCTTAAATCACAAGCTTTTTAAACAAAGACGGATAGTGGGTAGCAGTGAAACTCAGGATGCGCGTTTTATCCTATTTAGGAATCGTCAGCTGAATGTACCTGCATCCCACTTCTATGAATCTGGTGTTCATCTTGTTGTGCTAATGAGATATGGCAACTTGGACCGATGCACATATGTGCCTGGTCCTATTTTGTAGCTGACTGACTGACTGTTCACTCCGGGACTCGAACCCATTGCCGTTCGTTTTAAACACCATCGCATTCTCTACTTAGCTACTGAGTCCTGATATCCACCTGCTTTTGCAATGAGGTGAAGTTTAAATTCCCTTGTTGTTGTTTCACTTGTATCTTCCTATTGTTATTTATATTTGCGATGGTGTTATGATTTTCCATTCATTCATCCATTCTTTTCTGTATACTCTAGAATTGTCGAGAAGATTATCATTTGTCTTCAATAGAACCTGAAAAAACAGATGATTCCAAAGGTATGTTTACTAATGTCGTAGATGAACGTGTGTGTGTGTGTAGGTGTGCGCAAATATCTAATTAGTTTTGTTGTTTATTCATGCCCATACTACACACACACATAACTTGTGTATCTCTTTATATCTGAAATAATTGTTTAGTCTATTTGTTTATCTGTTTACTGTTGGAGTACATAGAAGATTTAAACAAAGATATCAAACTAATGTAACTTATTGAATTTTGTGATAATGCTAAAATACTACTTGTTATTTTAAAAGTAGTTCAACTTGTATCCTAAAATATCTTAACTTGGTTACGACAAGATGAATGATATCAGTATAAATGACAATAATTCTGGTACTGTATTATTGAAAACTACTATGATTGGTAATCAAAATCTTATAAATGGCCTCTGAAAACTAATATTTGTTGAAGCTTAATTTCAGACATCTCTGTAGAGAATGATTTCTGTTCTATTCGAGTCAAGTTGCGGCTTCAAACGCCAATATAACTACAACGTTATCTTGAACTCAATGTAATAGTGATCATAGTAATACGTCCTATTCAATATGAAGGAAACAATTAACGAATTACCATTAATTCAATAATCTGATAGTTCACTTGGAATTTTAAAACAATTTCATTTAAGCCTACAGAATAACTTCCCTCTTATATATACTGTGATACAATTAGATTTTTTAGAAGCCTCATATATTCATTGAACAGAGTTATTATATCTCTAAAATCCATGTTGTTCTAATTCACGATTGTAAATGAGCATTTCGCACATTTTCTTTTATCCTTTTTTAAAATGACACCCTCTTCTTGTGAATGTAAAGCGCAGTGATTTGAGCCGATACACAATTATTCCAAGTTTTTCTTACTCTTAGATGTCATAATCACTGCTTAAATTTGTTTCGCAACTACAAGGGAGAGGCTTAAATGTCCTAAGTTCGATCTCTGGCTGGGTCATACGTACACACTGCTGATAAGTGCGTTATTAGGTCTAAATAGATAGTGTACTTAACCTGGTTTTTAGTGCACGGAGTAAATCACCATTAAATTGAATAGTTTCCACAAATCTCTCATCCGGATGATATTGAAATTTTTTGTAATTTAACCTTCTTTCTAACACATCAATTTCACAGTGGATCTTCTTCTTGTTCCTTTACTGACATTCAAGAGTTTTTGTTGTTGACAGAATAAGAAGATCAATTTATATGTATGATATCATTTTCATCAGCTAACTTTATCGATCAGCGTTCTTTGACATAGTATACAAATAAATTATTGTTTATTCAATCCACCTGAGTTACGTAATATGTGTAATTGCTACGAAACAATAGTTGATAAACTGAAATACTGATCAAATAAGTATTCAGTTAAAATGATTACAAACCCTTAAATCACGACCGAATGGATCTTAAAAGAGCAATCAGTTTAAGAGATATAATGATCTTTTATGATACAAATTAATCCACATTGCCACATTGCAACTTGTCCGAAAGCCCTCGATCTGCATTAGGAAGGACCTGACACATATGACATCGCTCACCCACCACCCAGTGATCAATCAATCGGGAACAGATTTGTATTGATAACATATGACTGGACAACAAATATAACTACGACCCTCCTCATAGAACCCCATATCCCGTAGGGCGACAGAATGTCAGAAGATAGAGGCTAGGATATAGGTTCAAATCTCGCGGGGCGGGATCGTTGATGCGCACCGCTGACGAATCCCATACTAGAACGAAACGGCCATCCAGTGCTTCCAGGTTATTTGTAGTGCTGTAGCTTCAATTGACTCATGAATTCAACTAATAAAATTACTAAGATCTGCACAAAACCCATTCTGAAGTAGTGTTTAGGAAAAACATCATTCATTGCATTATTGATTAATATAAAATTACAATGAAAGTGTAATTAAATGGTTTATGCTAATTGTCAGTCAGTTAGTGGTCTTGAGTGCTGATGGGAGTATGAGGGCGGTTATCACTTCCCAGTTCCCTATACTCTCGAAGGGTTCTTCTAGAGGCACCTGAAAAAGAAATTGGACTAGAGGTGGTCTTAGTAATCTACGAGCGTGACCTCAGTTCCCAACGGACAACTCCTTGAGGTCGGTCACACACGACCTTGTTGTGAGCGATTTTTGTGTTAGTTCCGTAATTGTTGAGACCTTATCGCCAGAGATGGATATCCGTAGGATAAGGTGAGGTGTGCATATTTAGGGTCGACCATTTCTAACCTCACCCCTCCTTGTGGAAGGCAGCTTGGCTTTTATGCTGGTTGTCTGAACGAAACATTTTACTGCCATCACACCTCTGTATAGTCAACAGTACGACTTTGCTTTTGGACCTTGGGTTTGTTGACTTTAGTCTTACCGTTCTTCAACCTACCTGTCTGGCATGGTAGGTCCTTGAGTAACAATTTTTCCAGCCAGTATAGCTCGATTGGTTCATCACGATAGGCAAGCTCGACCATCACGTCAAGGTAGCAACAATGGAATAGACTGTCCAATAAGATTATTCCAGTGATGTAACAGTATGAATCTGAATTAATGACCATTAACTTAAAATCTTAATTAATAACTCAGACCATGCCTATCAATCATATAACTCTGATCATATCGATATATTTATTTGCACATGTTTGATTAGGTTTTATATAATATATGTTTCTGAACTGAAATCATTGAACTGAGATTCAGTTATTAAGCTTATTGATAAAAAAACTGAATAATTTCCAACTGTTATGTCATAAACTTTCATTTGTAAAAGTAAACAATGATAGGTTTAAAGTCAACAAGAACGAATCAACATCAAGGTCTACAGGACAAGTTGTGAATCACATGTAGAGAAATTCGAACACTTCACTTCTATCTGAAGTTTGTGCTAATGATATCGTTCAGAAGAACAATGAAAGCTCCATTACTAAACCATCCAGCTTAGAGAATAAAATTCCATCAAAATCATACATCTGAGCTACAAATCTTCTCTATCATCTCAGAATTTCATTTGTTTTTATATCAGTCAGTCAGTCAGCTACAACTTAGGACCAGACACATATATGCATCGGTCCAAGTTGCCATACCTCATTAACACTACAAGATGAACACCGGATTCATAAAAGTAGTTAATGCAGAGGTGGTAGTATATAAAAGAAAGATTGCAATAAGGATATAGTGCAGGAAGAAAGAATTAGTTCGTAGAAAGAAATATATGAAGTGATTTTAATCTCATAGTTTAAGGGAAGACAGAGAGTGTATACACCGACGCCATTGTGATCGATTCTGAGACATATCACACAGAGTCTCCAACCACTCATTAGAACAGTCACGTGAACCCCAACCAAGTAGTCTGCATCTCTCAACATGGCTCAGACTAGAAGTTAGTGACTTCAAGGACTGATGCCACGTTTTGGTTTGGCCGCCCCTACTACTACTTATTTATCGTTTTATTTCATTTATAAATTTCTTTCTTTTTCTCACCTATTGAATATAGATAATAAAAGAAATGGTTATGATGAAATCAATTTTATGGAATATTTTCAAGCTGCTTTACATTCACTTGTCTTGAATGAAAATAATATTAATGGTTGTTTACGTTGTATAATATGGTTAAGTATCTCACCTAAAAAATGTACCCAAATGGAATATGATAATGATGATGATGATGATGATGATCCAAAGGAATTAACCAAGAAAAATCAATTTTGTGAAGCAATTATTAGACAACAGGATGAAGAATTAATGCGCCTTGTTTTACCACAACCGAATACTGGTGATAAGTATGTTATTCTCTTATATGTAATAGGATTAATGGTTTGATTGGGTCTGATCTTAATAATCATTGTTGACTTAAATCATATAAACCATTGGTTATAGGCTTAATGGTCTAAAGGTTAAATACTCGCTGCAAGATCGGAATGTTCTGATTTTGATATATGCTGAGGTCATCGATGCGCTCCACTGATGAATTTCCTGGTTTTTAATAGTTGTCTAACCAAGTTCAATCAGTCAGTCTTCAAGGATTGATGCCACGTTTCGGTTTGGCCGCCCCTGACTTTCTTCCAACCATCCCCAACACCATTTAGCATCGCGTGTCGTGGTAATCAGTGTTCAGGCATACGTAACACGTGGCCCAACCATCTCAGTCGATGAAGATTCACAACCTCATCAACTGATTTACCATCATTCCTTAATAACCTGCATCTAACCACACTGTTACTTACCTGGTGATCCCAGCAGATGTGAGTAATATCTCTAAGGCATCTTTGGTCAAATACTAGTAACTTACGAATATCTTCTACTGTTAATGGCCACGTTTTGCAACCGTAAAGTAAAACAGAACGAACTGCCGCGCAATATACTCGTCCTTTTATTGATAGACGGATATCTCACCTTTGCCATAGTTGACGTAAGTTGGTAAAAGCCATACGATAACTTCACAATATAAACTATACAATCGAGCTATCCCTATAATTCCCTATATCGTAAAATTTTAATTCATTAAAGCTTAAGGGATCTACAAAATTGATTTCCTCTAATCCCCTTTGACATTTAATCACATTTTCAGAAGTAGTTTTGTATAACTCAAAAAATGGATTACTTCCGTTGATTTTAACCATTTAATCCCATGATATTAAAAGACTTTGTTCATAACTTCAGTAATTAATTAATTAATAGTTAATACCACCCAATATAATTTATTCAAATATGACTATTGATCAAATGAATAAATCTTAAGTAACTCAATGTATTCAGATATGGCAGTGAAACATGGCCGTTAAGAGTAGAGGATATTCGTAGGTTACTAGTATTCGATCATAGGTATCTTCGATGCATTGCTCGTATATCCTCGGACCACCGAGTAAGTAATATAGTTGTTAGGAAAAGGGTACTAGGTAAGGATGGAAAATCAATTGATGAATTTAAGATGGCTGGGACATGTGTTACGTATGCCCAATCGCCGACTGCCCCGATGTGCGATGTTTTATGATGTAGGAGTAAGTTGGAAAAAAGCTAGGGGCGGCCAGATCAAAACATGGCATAATTCCATAAAGTCACTGACAAGTGGACTGAGCCATATTGGTAGATGTAGACTACATGGGTGGGATAGGCGAAATGATAGCAACCAGTGATTAAAAACCTTAAATGACATGGCTCAAAATGGCGCAGGTGCATCCACTTTTTGTGTTCTCCCAAATTCTAATCTTCTGAATTCTTCATATCCCTTATTTTTGCTCTTTCCAAATTCATTTCACTGTATTATACTCCTTGAATAATACCTTCAAACCCTAATGTCTCTGATTACTCTTTATACTTTTACTACATCTACCACTACGGGATTTGAGTCGACAACTGCACCTCTGTGCTAATTTGATATGGCAACTCGAACTGATGTATGTACGTACAAAGTTCTAAGTTGTTACTGACTGACTGACTGTATCCAGATATAGTCTTAATATATTTTCAGTGTTTTATTAAATCTCAACTATTTTTGCCATGTTTGAATCACAATTTCCTGTAACGAATATCAGTTTTTTTCACAGTTATATGAAGTAATAAGTAGAAAAAGTAGTATAAACATATCGCTATACATTATTGGTTTATTTATTGATTATTTAAATAAATGTGGAACATACTGTCCACAGTATGGTGGCTCACCAATTTAATGGTCCATTTTGATCCAACATTAATTTGTATGTAAAAATGAATATGCTATTGTAATGAACGAGATTTGGATGGAGACAGCCAGTTTATTATTTCATATAAAATTACAGAATATCTTTGTAAAATATGAGAACTAAAAATTAAATGTCTGTCGACATAAGTAGCATACACCACGCTCATCCCCTCTTCAAACATTCGCTCTCGCGGTGGTTCTACTCTCCAAGCCACTTCCCTTTTGCCTCAGCCTGCGTCACGCTCCTCGTCAAAATGTGGAGTCTGTGGCGGTCTGACCTTTGCAGCTCCGTCGACCTGTCGATTCATCTACATCCGATGTCTGCCCAGCAGCCGCACATCTCACTGCCTCCGTACGTCAACAGCTAACGCCAAAACGCTCTACTCAACGTCACCTTCCCTTACCAGACCGCCCCAACTAGCAACTTTATCTGACGTAAGATGGTTGAAGATCATTGGTTTGTTCAGTGTAAACAATCTTATAGTTCAAAAAATTAAAGGATATTACAGAAGTCTTAAACTTGGTTTCTATGCCAAAATGTGATATCTTTCATTGAATCATCTCTAAAAATCTTAATGAAATTTATATAATTACCCTTGAGATTCGGATCCATGCCAGTTACTGTCACAATCATACATATTGCTTTTAACCTCATGAAAAACGAATACTCACTATATTTTGTGTAGAAAAATCATCATAATTTCAAAGTGTTCAGAGAATCCTTTACTCTTAAATCTAAGAAAGATGTATCACGCGAATGTCAATATAACATAAAAAAAACTTAAACTTGAGAATTCTAAAATATCCGAACTACGGAAATATGGATACATTCAAAAGGGAAACTGTAGTCCTCGCAATACAAAGAAACTACTCCAGACGAACAACTATTTACACATTAAAAATAAATTGAAAAACCATACCTGAATACACATTGACTTATGTTTTGTTTACTTTTTTGATCAATAGTCTAAATAAATTGAACTGAGTGGTACCTTGATAATAATGAATCTATAGCTCTATGTATGCCTAGAAGTTACAATGTTATAATAGATTAAACTGATGTTAATAAAGAAAATACTAAGCTATAATTTGATAGAGTTTTGTTCTCTAAGATAGATGCTTTGGTCGTGGAGCTTTCATCGTTCTTCTGAACGATATCATCAGTACAAACTTCAGATAGAAGTCTATCTATTTTTCATTAAAAGAGTATCATTTAAATCATTTGTATTGGTTGTTTTTGAACCTTAAAATTAGTGTTTAGAATTCTAATTGATTGGTCTCGTTTTGGCGTATAAGCATACTATGCGAATTGCTTTAACATTGAACATACACCCAGTTGACGAGTCCCAAACAGGACGAAACACATATCTTGGATTCCTCTGCTAAGCATTATCCATCTTCTCTTATAAAACGTCATTTATTTAAGAAAAATATTGATAAACTACTGTTATCCTGCTGAACATATTTTTGAATTGAATATACTGATAATTAAAACTTTATAACGTTCAAAGCTCTCTCTTTTTGTACTTAATTCATTTGAGTTGGTTTAGTGAGGTGTCATTAGGTTTCACATTAAATAAATATACATGAAATCTGAAACAAACAGAGTATCTCACGCATCATCAAACTGTCAGTGGTATGATAATAGGAAACTTAGTTATCATCAATATAGATCCTAACACACATTTGCGTTATTTCAAGTTCATATACCCTGTCAGAACGACAAAATGAAATTAACAATAGAAATGTCAAAACGACATTGAAGTAACATTGGTATCAATCATGACAGTGGGAAATATTGAACGTTAAAAGATATGGTTTGAAAAGAAAGGATGAATTCTTGAAATACCTTTTTTTCGGGGGAGGGTCACTATAAAGAGCAAGTGCAAGGTAGTGGTTGAAGATAGTCGATAGAAAACCCTGTACCGAATTTTCGTGCTGTTTGGAACTCTTCAGTAAGGTGTACCTGTAATCTTAAGTAAATTGATCCTCTCTATCTGTTTCGATTCTATGTCACTGAGCTCCACAGTCAGAGATGTCACCACTGAGTTTTTTAGGCCGCATCTGACTTCCTCTTGGACTGAGATGTATTTACAATTGATTAATCATTGAGTAGTGATTAATAATACGTATTTTAAGTCTCTCTTAGTGCTGATCTAACTTTCTCGATTAAGTTGCAATATGATCAACAACTAACATCTAAATAGTGTATACGATGTTAATTTAATTACACTAGAATGACAACATTGCAACTTGGTTGATAAACTTCGATGAACAGTGTTAGGAAGGACTTAAACTACCGTAAAATTGGTCACCAACCAATGATCAACTGATTATAAGAAGAGAGAATAAGTCTATGTCAACATGACAGGAAAAGTATTCATTACTTATTTATTCTCAAAGCATTGAAGAGCGAAACATCATGCCTAGGATACTGAAAGTTTTAAGTAAGATTAGTAGTGGCTTCTTTGATTTAAGAGAATTATTACTTTTATCAAACATAAACAATTCAGGTTTATTCTTTTCTATCCTCTAGGGAAATAAGCCGTAGATCACTTACAAATCATTCATGTAAGGGGAAATTTAAGAGTTCCCGCGATAATACCCTAGCAAGTCTATAACTAAAACCTTCATTTTATGCTATATCATCAGTTCGAATTTGGAAAGTCCTAGATTCATCCGGGTGATATTGTTTAGAAACAAACACAATAAAATCCAGCTTGAAATCGTTTTAACTATCGTGTTGTTGATTAACGTTTTATCAGTCTTAGTTCGCCTATAGGCATCCTAAGAGGATTGCCTTGAAGTATTCATTATGACACATGTTGATATTCTATATCAACAACCAGGTAATCTAAACTATATAAGATTGAATTAAATCTCATACTCATTGTACAGGTCAGTTGCTATTTGAACTCAGTAACTAAATTGGTAACGCGATGGTGTTTGAAGTTAAACGGTATTGAGTTCGAGTTTCGGAGTGAAGATCAACTATGGGATGCAATAACATCCAGATGTAAACGAGTCCCAAATAGAGTGAAACACAATAAAAGCTTCACAATGGGATCCCTATAGTTTATAGAATAGAAGTTGACAAAAACATATCATTCTCATGAACCATAATTATCGAATATCTTCCAAGCTTGTACAATTATAAATAATAACTAATTGTAATTTAAGGTTAATCACTTGGAAGCGGTGAAGCCATGAACGTAGTTAGGTTTCGTGTTAGTTGTCACCCATCAACTAATCGTGTTATATATATATATATATTCGACAGTTAAATTTTTATAATTCGTCAATTATTTTCCTTGTGCTAGATTGAAACTGCGCTGGCCATTGAATGATTTGAAGATTACAGATAAAATCAAATATGTTGATTTTTGTAATTTGTCGAATGTTTTAAGCGTACCTCTATCTGATGTTGAAAAACTTGAGGTAAGTCACTTTTTCACTAATATATATATATATATATATATATATATATATATATATATATATATATATATATATATATATATATATATATATATATATATATATATATATATATATATATATAGTACTTAGTACGAATGCCGTAATACCTTCGAGTCTAAGGAGAGTCCACTCTACCTCTTAAAATGCTCTTATACTCCCACGAGTATATAGCTACGCACAGAAATGTCGTACTCACCTTTTCATTGCCGGAGTGTCGTTTACGAAATCAAGGTAGTGAAAAGCGAATTTTCGACGCTTGAATAGAGTTGATGGACATGGATGATCTATTTAGAGAAGTTGGAAATCCTTGTCAACAAAAAGAATAAACTCGATAAAATTGTCAAGACTCTGACTGATTAAAGTAAACCGCCATTGTCATGAACTAAATGTTGACTCGATAGACGCCTGGATAAATATATACTTCTCACGGTTAAATGGTAGGTGAGACATGACAAAGAAGTCACGCCATTGGAAGGTCGCATCTTATATATTCTTGTCTGGATGTGTATGCGTGTGTGTGTTTGGGTTGGTGGTCGGAGATTTATGTCTACTCATGATTTTTAACGGAATGGGGGTTTGTGGATATTGTAGTAATTTTTAATAGTTGAATTCATGAGTCAGTTAAAGCTAGACCACCATGGAAAACCTGGAAACACTGGTCAGCTGTTTCATCTTAATATGGGAGTTAGACATTAACACCGTTGGATGCTGGCTCAGTGGTCTAGAAGTTAAGCGTTCGCGTGAGACCCAAGGCCCTGGGTTCGAGTCCAGCATACGGGATCGTGGGTGTGCACTGCTGAGGAGTCCCATACTAGGACGAAACGGCCGTCTAGAGCTTCCAGGTTTTCAGTAGTGAACTAGGTTAGATTAACTCGTGAATTCAACTATTAAAAATTATTCATAATTCATTTACACATCATTCGGTTCACCTACTTCCTAACCTTTTCCTAATCATCTCACTCACTCAGAAAGTTGAACTAGCGGAAAGGAAACGTATATATATCTGAATCATACGACCACGGAATGTAACATGATTTTGCAAACTTATCTCATTGAGGATTATACTTTCTTAGGATAGTTTCCAACTATCAATCTTATATAGAATCGATGATATTAAGATTGAATTCAGTTAGTTGGATTATTGTCAAAAGTCTTTTGTATAGTTATTAATGAGAAAGAAAATGACATGATTGTGTTTAAACCTCACTAACATCATTCAGTTATCGTTAATTTGATTAGTTAAATTATTCTTGTATGTGAAACTTTTGATCAGTTCACTGCATACTCGTCTTTCATGAGACTAGACCACAAACAACTAGCTTTTTAGTGGATTGTTAAGATGTTTCCTCTTTGCTGACAAAGTATGACCTCTGTTGAGAATGAGACAACAGTTATTATCGATAATACTGAATGAGGATTGAGTTGTGTTGTTGATCGGGTGAAGTTAAAAATACTCATTATTACAGAATTCTATTCGGTTGATTTATTGGTGTTAACAACATCGAGAGATCTGGTTGATTTCACTGGTTAAAGTTGGTTGATAGGATACTCTACTAGACCCGGATTCGATATTAGCTGGAATTCTTCAGCAAAGTATACCTGTATTCTTGAGAAGATTGATGATATCGGTAATATCCAAGCCCTAGCTTCATAGTCTTGGACGTTACCACTGAGCCGTTCGGATCGAAAATAATCTTCTGTAAAACTGAGATATTTACAACTAACTAATCACTAAATAGGTAACATTGCCACCTGGAAACGTCTTAGGCTGTAAAATCGAGTGACATGAGTTTGAATCGTACTTCATGATTCAGGATATTTCTTGATGAAAATCGTCAATTAGCATATATCATAAATCCAAAGTATCCCGTCAACTGCTTCTAAACATCTAACATCTCATCATATTGAACACGATGTCGAGTCACTTACACTAGTAGTCGGTCACATTACAACTTGATTGACATAATTCAGTCAGCCCTGGACCGACTGTATAAATGTAACATTCCCGACCGTTGTTGCTACCTTGACGTGATGGTCGAGCTTGCCTATCGTGATGAACATATCGAGCTATACTGACTGGAAAGATCGTTTCTCAAGGACCTACCATGCCAGACAGGTCAGTTGAAGAACGACAAAACTAAAATCAACAAACCCAAGGTCCAAAGGCGAAGTCGTACTGTTGACTATACAGAGGTGTGACGTCAGTAGGGTGTTTCCTTCAAGCAACCAACATAACAGCGATGCTGCCTTCTCACGAGAAGGGGTGAGGTTAGAAAACGTCGACCCTAAATATGCACACCTCACCTTATCCCACGGATATCCGTCTCCGGCGATACGGTCCCAACAAGTACGGAGCTAATACGAAAGTTATTTACAAATAGGTCGTATGCGACCGACCTCAAGCAGTTGTCCCTTGGGCACTGCGGTCACGCTCGTAGGTTACTAAGACCACCTCTAGTTCAATTTCTTTTTCAGGTGCCTCTAGAAGAACCCTTCGAGAGTATGGGGAACTGGGAATTGATAACCGCCCTCATACCTCTAACAACACTCAAGACTACTGTATTGGTAATCAACCTCTAACATTTATCACTATTCACTAGTCAATCGGTTGAAAATCTGATCGCTTATAGGCTTTTTCTGTCTCAGTTCGTAGTTATACATCATTGAGAAGTTATACAAAACAATAATTAGCTTTCATCTATTCTATCTAATTGATTTCATTTTCTAATTAAAACTAATCTGTACATATATGAAAAGGGTATATAAACTTCAAAAGAATGAACACAGGATCCTTTTTGGCTACTGAGTCAAAATCGATTGATCATTGATTTCAAATTGCTTTATCTTCTGCTAACATTCTTCAATTCATAATGAGATTGAGCAAATTAGAAATATATAATCACTGAGTAATGTAATATTACTCATTTTAATTAACACCATTTGTTTGATCACAGTAAAGAATTTACAATAAAGATTATGCGACATTCCAAAGATCCTTGTGTTTTATATGTATTGAACTTATGAATATTCAACAAATGTGTATAATTATCTGTATGAGGTTGTAGAGATTATTATGTTTTTGATCGAGATCATGACCTGATCGATGTTAGACTACCATTGAAAACCTGGAAGGGAATTCTCGGAATTCTAGTGAGAAGCGGTGATCAGTGAAGTTAATCCGTGTCGGATAGACACAGGTATCTACTTCAGTACGATGGGATATGGTCGTGCAATTTCGTGGATTAGTTGAGGTTAGACATTATCACTGTTGGATGCTGGCTGGCTCGGTGGTCTAGAGGTTGAGCGTTCGGGCGCGAGGCTGAAGGTCCTGGGCTCGAGTCTCGCGAGCAGGATTGATGAGTTTTACAATGGGACGAGACAGCCGTTCAGTGCTTCCAATTTTCAATGGTGGTCTAACATCAGTCTGAAAATATGTATAATCTATTTGCAAACAGTGATTATCTACCATTCAGATTCATCCATAAATGTTAACGACCAACTTTACTCTCAGGACATCTATTTTCATCTCCTTGCTATGTTTCATAGGTGAATTCGAGATCAATTACCTCTTTTCCTTTCATAGAAAAACGGAAGGAGAAAAATATACAAAATATCGTGATTAGTTAGTTAAATCTGAAACAAAGAAATTATCAGTATAAGGTTGTGGAGGTTGTTGAGTTTAGTTTGATATCACGAATGGATCAATGTTAAACCGCCACTGAAAACCTGGAGGCACTTGATGGCTGTTTCACCCTAGTAGGGACTCCCCAGCAGCGCGGACTCATGACCCTGCACACGGGACTCGAACCCAGAGCGCTTAAACTCTAGACTACTGAGTCGGTACCCAACATTTCTGGGCTCGAGTACCGCATGCGGAATCGTGGGCCTGGACTGCTGAGGAGTATTATACTAAGACGAAACGGTGGTCTAGTGTTTCCAGGTTTTCAATGGTGGCCCAACATTAATCCGTTTATTCTATCGATCTAAAAAAATTATGTTTTGATCAATACACATTTAAATAAAGTATTTCAAAAGTTTACAACAGGTCATTGGTATCCAAATATTAAAATTCTTTATTCTTTCTTTTGTCATAGCTGTCTTTAGAAATACCAGAAGAGGATATCATGTATAAATTTGTGGAACATTCATCATTAAAAGATGATCGTTTGATTACATTCAGAAGTAAGCCATCGATAATAGTAATAACAATAATAATGCTGTTAGTTAACTTTTCTAAATTCAACACATTTATACCCTAATAGATAGTATAATATCAATCTAGAGAATGATTGGGACTATCTTCAAAGCTTGTTTCACAACTTGAGACGGGACTCAATTTAAGGCGTTCAAATCTCGTAGTAAGCATTCGTTATACCTTTGTACAACAGTGCCAACCACTAGTGGCTGTGTTCTCACTTTGGATTTGGTTGACCTTGAAGTTCATTGCTTCCCACGAGAAAATCTGTAGATTCACCTAGACGTTCGTTGTGAGTACCCGATTATTAGCGTCTTCAACTACTGATCTTTGTTATTACTCATACCCCGAATAGATCGTGTGCATCAACCAGAACGGGTTAGATAAAGTCAGTGACTTAATTTACTAATGTAGTATCTTGCTTCGGTCAATTTATGCTATTCCTTAGTGTCCTTGCTAGCCGTCACTGGACGTTGTTGCACGTGATGTTTGGGTTTAAGTAATACACGTCTCGACTATCTCAGTGAACGATTATTTCATTTTATCTAATGTCATATAAATAACTTCAGTATATTTCACTCTGTCGTTCCACTATATACGAGCAGTGCTTCGAAGAAACTTACAATAAAAAATCCCATCAGGTTTCGCATGTCATCGATTTTTTAACTCATTGGCTGAATACCGTCGTGCTCGTCACGAGACCTAAAGGCTTTCGATCTAACCTCTTATAGAGTCATCAGTATTCATTTTAAAGAGAGTTTTATCCTAGACGACATGTCTATACATTGCTTTCTAACATTCAACGGTCGTTTCTCTGAAGTTGAATTCATTTTCATAACCATGAAAATTATTGATATCCTCTAACCATTTATTTGTATTGACTGTTAACTGTATGGTTTCAACGCTTCTGCATATTTTCAATCTAAGAAAAACAGGATGGAACAAGATTTATTCACGATAGATAACAAATTTCAGGTTATCACTGTTTTAAGTTAATTGTAAGACTTATTTGTGAAAATTATATTTGAAATGATCTCGATGTTTATAGAAAATGAGAACCAACAAATAAATAATAAGCATCAGAAGGGGCTTTTGTGGATATTATAGTAATTTCAATAGTTGAGATCATGAGTCGAATCTCGTGAGGCGTGATCGTGGATGCGCACTTCTGAAGAGCCCCACAATAGGACGAAATGGCCTCCTAATGCTTCCAGGTTTTCCATGGTGGTCTAGCTTCAATTGACTCATGATCTCAACTATTGAAATAAATAATTGTAAGAATAAAATATTCCAATTAGTTTCTGTCAAAATAACAATCAATGTAAAATAAACAAGTTGAATAGAGATAAGATCTAATTACTTGTTGATGATCATTTCTCTAAGGGCGGCTAGTTGAATATCATCTTTGTTGTTCAGGTTATTCTTATTAGCCCGTATAAACAGTGCTTCTGCTGTCAAGCTTTATGTGTCCCAAACCCTTTATGAAGTATCTTGGTCTCTTCGAAGTTGACCTTGTATCCTGCTTTTAACATATATAACACTATCGTCAACCTATTCTCAAGTTTCTTTAGATTACACCGAGGATTTGGGAACATGTTTCAATCATTACTTGTATTCCTTCAATCTCAAATTCAATTGTCTAGATGTTTCTATCACATAAGCTGCCTTATAATCATGAAAACTGATTTCATAAACAACATTCTGTTGTTCTGCCTTTGGAAAATTATCCTTAACTTTCACTAATCCGGATCTTATGGTGTCACTAGCTCGAAAATGTACTCTTATATTATGTCTATTTAGAATCCTCTTAATTTCTTCCAATGTTTTGTAATATTGCCACGAACCACCATCATTTTGAGACCATAGTTTTCTAGACACTTTGAAGTTAAAACTCTTTGCTAATGTATCTCAATCAGTTCAATGCAGTGTGATGTGTTTTCTAACTTTGTTACCACTCAAATGATCCCAGCAGATTTAAATTGCCAGAACTACTAGGTGACTAATATACTGATAAGCGACGATGAAACTCATACTGATATTCGTCAACATTTAAACAAATAGTTTAACAGAAATCGGACGCCGAATATATAGACGACATTATTTGTGAAAATCATACTTGAAACAATCTAAGAGGTTGAAACTCAAGAACATCAGACCACCAATGAAAACCCAGGGGAAAGCTTCCGGGTTCGAGTCCCGTATGCGGACATCCTGGATTCTCACTCTTGAGGAGTCTCATATTAGGATAAAACGACCACTCAGTCTTTTCAGGTTTTTAATGGTGGTCTACTATTGATCGGTTCATGAATTCAATAAAAATCAATATTCACCACAATTTGGTTCAATAATCTTCTGTCATTCAAAATAATCTCCCAATTCTAGCAATACAGTAATCTTATTTCTGTTTTCATTACTTAAAACATCATTTGAAGCGATAAATCTTGCTAATTGAACACTATATTCGTTTCCTAAGCTATTCTGTAACCCTCAAGCTAGAACTATACAGCGACCTGAACAACGAGAGAGAAGACGCAATGTATGCGAGAAGTTCTTTACTCTAAGGTTCATTTCAACACAGAAAATACAGGGTTTTATAATATTTTAAAATGTCCTTGAGTTACTAGAAGATTCTGGGATGCTACTAAACCTAGCAGCAGTGTAGCAATCAGCCAATCAGAACCTCTTCATGTGACGTTTCTGCCTCCTTGGTATTTTTGGCTAAAACTTCAAGGAAGCGCTTCTTAGTGTTTCCTGATCCTTGCTTGTCTTTTGCGAGAAATTTGCCGGATCACCCCAACAAGAAGTTCTCAGAGATCAGGTTTTTCAATTGACTCATAGTTCAGTTGTTATTTTTTCAGAATCGTATACACAGTAATCATCTAAACAGTAAAACAACGATCAGATAATATAAGTGATCACATATGTTTAGTATACCAGGTAAACAATCATTCTAGTCTTGCATCATCCATATGATCTTCATTGTCCATAGAATGAAATGCTTAATTCATTTAGAAAGTACCTATTCTCTCCAATATGGTTATTCCTCATCTTTATTGATTTTTCTTATTATTTGTATTGTTCACTTTAGATCCTTTGAAAATAATCCTTGAAGATGAAGAAAATGATGAAATGAATAGTTATTCACTGTTACGATTTCTATATGAATTAAGTAATAATATAATATCATGGTTTTTACTTAATGCAACTGGGATAATATAAATATTTTTGATTCATTTATTTCATTCATAAATCACTATGTCATCATCATCATCAGCAGCAGCATCATTTCTGATGTTATCTTACAATCCATTAAAGATGTAAAATGGATCTATCGTTTGTATATTTACATTTGTATAATTGGACTACATTCCCGTTGATCTGATCATTAACTATTGCTCAATTTTGTATTTAGAAACGATTGATGTTAGAACACGATTGAAAACCTAGAAGCACTGGATGGCTGTTTCGTCCTATTGTGGGACTCCTCAGTGGCAGTGCGCGTCCATGATCCCGCTCGCAGGATTCGATGGTGATTTAACATCAATCGGTTCAAGATCTCAATCAATAACTTAATGATCTTCACAAACCTATAACGATAATTACCATGTGCACACTAGTGACTATCTTCGTGAGGGAATTCTCGGAGTTCTAGTGAGAAGCTGTGACCAGTGAAGCTAATCCGTGTTGGGTAAAGATAGATATCTACCTTAGTACAATGGAAGATGTTCGTGCAATTTCGTGAATTGGTTGAGGTTAGACATTAACACCGTTGAATGTCAGCCGTCTCAGTAGTCTGGAGGTTAAGCATTGGGGCGCGAGACTGAAGGCCCTGGGTTCGAATCCCGCGAGCTGGGTTGTGGATGCGCACTGCTGAAGAGTCCCGCAGTATGACGAAACGGCCATCCAGTTCTTGCAGGTTTTCAATGATGGTCTAACATCAATCTGTTCAGGATCTCAATCAAAAACGTAATCTCCACAACCCTATACTGATAATGTTGTATTTCTTTAGTCTTAACTTGTGTTTATCGAACTCTATCGATCAAGTCATTAATCTTAGTGAATCAACACCGCGTTTAGTAGATTTTGATGTTAAGTAAGCTGAACGTATTTGACATATATCTTAGATCTAGTCTTCTTGTTAGTTGACACTCGTAAACAAAGTGTACCTGCAATCATGATGGAACTGATGCTTTCTGTAGAATTTGTACATATGTGTCACTGTAAAGCCAACTTCTGTAGATATTTGCTAGTATAGACTGAATCACAAGGATTTATTGAATTGATAAATGCAATAGGAAGTTTGAGTGGGAAGTACAATTCTTCTCGTCAGCTATTGTATCATCACAAGACAAGTAGAAAGCATCAGTTATAGTTTCCAGATGTTAAGCGGTATACTTTGACCTTCTCTGAATGGTTCTGTAATTTCTCTATTGTAAGTTAACAGAAATACTTTCTTAAAATCCATCTAGTGATGTGTTCGTGCATAAACTTTCCAACATATCCATTTCCTTCGATAATTCATCCTCAATGGTGTTTTTCATTTGAACTGTCATTATATCTTATATCTAGTTAATATATATATTCTTCGGTTATAAGATAGACATTCAGTGCATGTACACCTTATATCTACTGTTAACTAAATCCTGATTATTCAATATCACATAATAATATTTTTATTATTGACAACTTGTTTATTTTTATATTGGTTGTTTGAATATTCCCATTGACATTTAGGACTGCAATTGATGAGTCTCTTCTGAAAAGAGATAAAGGGAATATCAGTCTCTTCATCGGTATATGTGCATCCTCTGCGGATTGCCTCGATATTGCCTTAAGCCACAAGTATTATAAGTAGAGATGGATGGTGGCTGGTAGTGGAATCCAGGATGCTCATTTTATCCTATTTGGGACTGGTCAGATGGATGTACCTTCATCCTATAGTTGATAGTACGCAGATGTTTTTAAACACTTATATCTTTACCTGTCAGTTTTTCTTCTGGTGAACTGTTCTTTAATACTTGCGTTTCAGAGTATAAAACTTTTTTCAAAATATACACCACAACAGTCATTAGTGAGCAGTATACTGGAAAACATAAGGATGTCAACAAGGGGCCTCATAACTGTAACTATATGAGCGGTTCGAAATGACAAACGTCACAATTTCTCCAAGAAAGTTAAATTAAACAGTTTATTCATTCGTGTCTTATAACACTTTCATGTTCAGAGTTAATCGAAGTATAGGAGGGATGAGCTATTGTCGCTGATTTGTAAAAAAAACAACTGTATTCTCATTTAAAGATGCTTCCTGTACTATATCCTTATATGTAATCTTTCTTTTATATATTACCACCTCTGAATTAACTAATTTTATGAATCCAGTGTTCACCTTGTTGTGTTAATGGCAACTTGGACCGATGTATCTATGTGCCTGATCCTACGTTATAGCTGACTGACATTTAAGGATGTATGAGTGACCACTCAATCGTAACATTATTCTATCTTTAATATGATATTGTGTTACATACGTTCCTTTTTACTTTTCTGTAGATAACGGGTGTAATGATGATATAGAAAATGAAAATCCAACTGAACGTTTTGAAAATATCAAAGATGATTATGACAGTGGAAAATCAAGTGAGTTGATGATAACATCATTTCATTTATTGTGACTTGAAATATATCTATTGGAAATTGGTCAGTCAGTCAGCTACAACGTAGGACCAGGCACATATGTGCATCGGTCCAGGTTGCCATACCTCATTAACACAGCAAGATGAACAGCGGATTTATAGGAGTGGTTAGGTCAAAGGTGGTAATATATAGGAGAAAGATTGCAATAAGGATATAGTATAGGAAGAAAGAATTAGTTCGTAGAAAGAAAGATATGAAGTGATTTTAATCTCTTAGTTTAAGGGACGACAGCGAATGTATACACCGACGCCATTGTGATCGATTCTGAGCCATGTCACACACAGTCTCCAACCATTGATTACGAAAGTCACGCGGACCCCAACCAAGTAGTCTGCATCTCTCAACATGGCTCAGACTAGAAGTTAGTGACCTCAGGCACTGATGCCACGTTTTGGTTTGGCCGCCCCTAACTTTCTTCCAACCATCCCCTACACCGGGTTAGCATTGCACGTCGTGGTAATCGATGTTCAGGCATACGTAATACGTGGCCCGACCATCTCAGTCGACGAAGATTCACAACCTCATCAACTGATTTACCATCATTCCCTAATACCCTGCGTCTAACCTCACCAGCAATATTTCTAAGGCATCTGTGGTCAAATACTAGTAGCTTACGGGTGTCTTCTACTCTTAAGGGCCATGTTTCGCTGCCGTAAATTAAAACAGAACGAACTGCCGAGCAGTATACTCGTCCTTTTATTGATAGACGGATATCTCGCCTCCGCCAAAGGTGACGTAAGTTGGCAAAAGCCAAACGAGCTTTTCGAATCCTTGGAAATTGGTAATGTTTAATCACTTGATAGGTCATTAATATCGAAGCCTACTTAACACAATCGACTATTTGATGTTTCGATATTGATATCAGGACTCAGTAGCCGAGTGAATAACATGATGGCGTTTAAAGCGAATGGTACTGGATTCGAGACCCAGAGTGAACATCAACTCTGAGATGTAGGTACATCCAGCTGACGAGTCCCTAAATGGGATGAAACGCGCGCCTTACTGGATTCCACTGCTAGTCACTATCTATCTTTGCTTATAAAGCTTGTGAATGAAGGCAATATCTAGGTAATACGCACAGGATACACATATGCCAATCAGAGACTGATCGATTGCAGTGTTAAACCTCAATGGGAAGATTCGAACAAACGATACCAAGTGAATTAATAGTAGTTATTTCATTTTTTTTTTTAACTAAAATGTAATTCTCAGTAGTTGTCATTGATTACTCTTTTAACTGAACGCTTGAATTGATTTCATAAGCTCTTTTATAACCCCAGGCTAAATTTACACAACAACCTCAACACGAAAGAAAAGGCGTGAAATATGGAAAAGAACACTTTACTCCCTTTTTTATTTATGCACAAAAAATTTAGGGTATTTATAGAGTTTCGGATGGTCTCAAGCTTCTGGAAGGTTCTGGAACCCTACTAAACATATTAGCAGAGTAAGTAACCACCCAATCAGGAATGTGACATGTGACTCATCACTTTCTAGATGTTCCCAAGACACTTTTATTCAATGCTGATTGAATAGAATATTTCCTAGCGTTTTCAGGGCCTCTGTGCATTTTCAGAGGAATATTCTAAATCTTACCAACAGTTACGGTCTGACATCGATTTGAGATGCTATGAATGGTTTAATGATGATGTGACCTTGGGACTTATTTAGTGTTCTTACTTTGCTTCGTGAGAATTGTATTGGTTCCCGTTTCAAAGTATAGAGAGTAGGATCAAAGAATTGCAATGGTTTACGATTTTCAAGCATAAATGATAGGACGATGAACCGAACACAATTGATACGTGAATATTAACATCGGAGGTACGCCAGACATAAAAGAAAGATTCCTCACCAAATATAACAGTGGTGACACGGACAAAAGATACAATTTCTCATTTACACTGATTTCCTGTTTATAGTCTATGAACAATAACTGTGGACTTACATGAAGTATCTTGAATAAAATCATTACTTAGATTAGATTTCATCGTGAACTAATATCACTGGAAAAAATAAAAAAAATAAACTAGGAATTACAGGACAACTATTGCCTTCTATATTAAAACTACTCAGCATTGTGCAATTCAACCTTCCTCCCGATTCAACGTAAAATTGAAATAGAGACATTCATATCTTGTAGGAATCATGGCGATTTCCGATCAAAATAAGAATCCAGTAGTTCACGTTTCTAACCTCAATCTATTTACACAATGTAGTGTGATTTGATAAATGCCTCATACACAACATGATCAGACAAAACCAATTACAACATCTGAATAGTTTCGTTCTTTGAAGCCAATCTTTTGCCAGGACTTAATAATGATTATTCCGATGGTTTGTTGTGAATAATTTTAATTTGAAGAATAAAATATCTGTCCGATTCTCTCATGTTTTTCATTGTTTATCTACATATAATATTACATAACGGTTTAACCTATCACCATTGAACTATAAAAAACATATATTGATAACACGTTGGGCATTTATAAAGGGATAGGCACTAGGTTCGAATCCCGCAATGGACACCAACTGTAGAATGAAGATATCTTCAGCTTCAGACGAGTCCTGAATAGGAAGAAATGTGGTTCTTACATTCGACTACCAGCCACATGACATCTATTTTATATATGCTTGTGTCATAATAACTATACCAAAGCAACCCTCACAGAATGAAATTATGCCAAATAAGACTGATTAAATTTCACTCAAAATATCAGTAACGGGGTAATCCAAGCCATCGCCAATGAGATATCTTTATTCTTTTTATTTAGGAGTTATAATCAACGTGATTAAGATGATTGATTTATTCATTTTTATTCATTCATCGATTTTAAAGGTGAATCGTCTCCTCCAGTATCACCGTCACTTGCTGAAAAAAAGATTAAATCACCTGTAAAGAAAAAGAAAAATTCCGATTCATCATCGTCTTCATCGTCATCCTCCTCTTCATCATCATCGTCATCGTCGTCATCATCATCATCATCATTGCATTCACCTTCTTCAAAGTTGAAATCATCTAAAATCACTTCAACAAATATCTTCTCAAATCAATCGAACAGTCCATTAACACCAGACACTTTAACACCAACATTTGAAAAGGAATCTGAAAATCAACCATCTATCATAGAACAAGAATTAAATCGTTTAAATCAAACTGATGAAATACTTGATTTAGAATGGATAAATCTATGTGAAAATAAGACTGTTGAATGTTCTATTGAAAATACTACAACTACTGTTAATTATGAAAATATGGAAAGGAATGATAGTACTGAATCATTGGAAAATAACACGAAACAAGATCCTACTATTACTTCAGTTATTCACAATGACAATGTTTATCAAAACTCTGGTAAGTTAGTGATATTAATAACGAACGCATTTCTTATCAATTTCGTTTTTATGTGATCAGAATGTTTCGTAGTTACATCTTCTTGTAATAGGGAGAAACATTTAATCTACACAACTGTCATATTTGTTGAGGATACTACTAAATAGTGGTACGACCAAGAGTAGGGAGAGTCAGCTGTCTCTCTCTCTCTCTTTCGAAATGCTCTCACATGGCAACGTGCATACAACCACTAACAGGGAAGTCTTACTCACTGCCTTCTTGTACCACGAATGTTGTTCACAAAATTAAGAGGACGAAAAGTGAATGTCGGGTGCTCTAAGCGGGTTGGTGGACACGAAGAGTCCACCTAGGGAAGTTGGAAAACCCTGATTCCAAACCAGTGGTATACATGGACTCCGAGATCCTAGATCCAGGATCTTGCTTGTTGATTACATTTCGAGCAGATCTTTTGTGGTTGGTTGGTACTACTTAAATTAATTCTAGAATTTTTCTCCCATTAAATAAGTACCACTTCGGAGGGGGGGATCATTAATCGTTTCTCAGATCTTTTAACCAGCCGAAAAAGCTCTAACATTGATTTTTGTTAAACAATCAGGTTGACTTATTGTAATAAATTCTTTTACACAACATTTACACACTCTTTTTTCTCATTTGAATGGACAAATTTGTAAATTAATAATACACTTTATGTATGAAGTCCAGAACACTTTTCGTAGTACATCTGTTTCAACAAATTTATAAGTAAACCATGGTTTATGTCGCATATTGTGATAAACCAATCCAGGTGTATTAGCCGCAACACTCGTTCCTTTAAATCTGACCATGCCGCGGAAGTTAGTTATAGAGCAGTAGCACTTAAATCAACGAACTCATCGTTCAATGGTGAGGTCATGCAGAGAGCTGTACAAAGGTATGAAACCAGTGTGAATTTTCCTTCAGATGAAAAGTATCTAAGGCGATGCTGCATCCTTACAACAGACTAGTCGGTTGGGGTCCACGTGACTATCGTAACCAATGGTTGGAGACTCTTGATGACATGGCTCAGAATCTATCACAATGGCGTCGGTGTATACATTCGCTGTCGTCCCTTAAACTAAGAGATTGAAATTGCTTTATATCTTTCTTTCTACCAACTAATTCTTTCTTTCTGTACTATATCCTTATATGCAATCTTTCTTTTATATATTACCACCTCTGAATTAACTACTATTATGAATCCGGTGTTCATCTTTTAGTGTTAATGAAGTATGGCAGCTTGGACCGATGCATATATGTGCCTGATCCTACGTTGTGGCTGACTGACTTACAACGGAAGAGACGTTACAAAAGGTTGATCCTAACCATAGTACATCTTACTTATCTCTACATATTCCCGTTACCGGTAGTAGAGCCTTAAAATACAAATCTAATACCTTTTTAAGTTATTCACAACGGAAGATTAGGTGAATAACTGATTAGCGATAATTTAGGGATGATAAAAATATGCATGTCAACGGTCAGTAAGTTAGACAAATCCTTATAATCAGAACAATATAAAAATGCTATAAACCAACTGTTTTGTATGGAAACGAAACTTGGGGAATTACTACAACCATCATCGAAAAGGAACAGATATTTACAAACAGTTGTCTGCGCGAGATAATCAATATCTGTTGATCGGATGCCATCATCAAAAACCTACTTTCGCAAAGAACAAATCAAAGACATTGGAGGTGGATGGGACATACATAGCAGAAATCAGCAAACTGCATCATGGGACAAGCACTAACTTGGAATACTGAAGGGAAACGAAAAAGAGGAAGGCCAAATAACACACTGCGTCAGGAATCGGACGCATACATCAAAAGAATGAATAGAAATTGAAACAACAAAGGGTTGCTCAGGAGAAATTTGGATGAAGAATCCTGATGGACAGCCTATCTTCGTCCATGAAGGGTAACAGGAGTAAGTATGTATGCAAGTAAAACCGATTGTATGTATGTAATTACGCAAAAAATAGGCATAATAATTCACCATGTAAAATAGTTTGACGAGTTTCACCTTTCTCAAACATCCACTTCTATTTAAAAGTATATGGAAACTCAAGATTAAGGTAGAGATAAAGAGTGAATATATCTGTGCTACAAGAGTATGGATTTGGAAGTTTTTAACCATTGATCACAATTATTAAGTAAGTCTTAACATGACGATCAGCGCCTACAAACAATTGAAGCTCATGAGTGAAAATTGGAGTAAATTTAAACTGCCTGGGTTACCTCGGAAAATCATCGTTTTTATCATTGGGTGTTCGGTATTGATCTCAATTTTCACTACAAAATGGTTAAAAAATATATCGAAAATCACAAAGTATTGGATATTTGTTTCACTTTAGTTCAGTAGACCCTACCCACTCAAGATCTCGTAAACATTCGAACCTGAAAACTCCTTGTCTTTTGTTTTATAAGTAATTAAAACAAATTGTAATTTTAAGCGAAGATGGATAGTGGCTAGCAATGGAATCTAGGATGTGCGTTTCGTTCTATTTGGGACCCATCAGCTGGATATACCTACATCGCAGAGTTGATGTTCACCCTGGGACTCGAACCCAGTACCGTTCGCTTTAAACGCCATCATGTCATTCACTCGGCTACTGAGTCCTGATAGCAATATCGAGGCAATACGCACAGTGTGCACATAAACCAATGTAGAGACTGATCAATTATAGTACTAATCATCAATGGGAGAATTCAAGTAAATTTGTTTTAGAATTTATGGATTGTGTCTAACAATGGGATGTGGGATATATATTCGATCTTATTTACGGCTTGTCAGCTGAACGCATCTCCAACTCACTGTAGATGTTGAAACTCCAGCCAAGTATATTTCTCTTCAAACATCAACATATTTTCTATTGAGCTACTGATTTCAGATACCTATTAACTTGTCCAAAGGATATGATATTTGTATCACTGTTGATGAGAAGTTGAGTTATTTTATTGTTGATATTCAGAACTGAAGCAAAAGATTTTTATTGTCATCATCTATCCCAAGATATCTGTGACAAAATGGCTATATCAATACAATTTGTACAAGATTCAAATATTTTAACAAAAACTAGTAACAAACTCAATTGTTATCATCAACACTGACGTAATTCATATCCTTCAATCAGTCAGTAACAACGTGGAACTTCGTACATACGTACATCAGTTCAACTTGCCATACAACATTAGCACACAGATACAATTGTCGATTCAAATCCCATAGTGGTAGAGGTAGTAAAAGTATAAGCAGTGATCGGAAAGATTAGGTTTTGAAGATGATATCAACTATAATTTGTAAACTTTGCTGTACTAAGAGGTTATTCCAAAAATTTGATTGCCATCATCTTATACTGTTTGTTTTCTTTTCAAATTTGTTAGAATTCCAGTCATCATCATCATCAGTAACAAGTGGTCAGTCTATGGAATTAAATTCATCATTATACAATAAGAATCAAGTTGTAGACGGTATTTCTCAGCATTCTTTACCTACATCATCATCAGTGCTGCCTTCGTCTACTATTAGTTCATCATCATCACCTCCTCCAGTCTTTACTACTACTCTGATTGGCCTAGAAAAACCACAACTATCGTCCAATTCTTCGATTGATGAGGATATTTCATTAAAATCAATTGATTCAAAGGAAAAACATATTGAATCCAATAATTGTAAAGTGACTACTAACAATAATGATCATGAAATGTTGACAGAATTCGTTTAAACATTACAAGAATCTGATATTGGCTTAGATTGTTTATCAGTGACGGAGACTAGGGATGATGATCACAATTGTTTGTTTGTTGTGATTTACTACAAGAGGCGTTATTTATTCTTTAAGATTATGGATTACTATTATTATTGTTATTATTATTCTAGATCTCTTAAATGGATTATGGTTTTGCTTCTTTTCTTTTTGTCTATGTTTTTGATGGAGTTTTATTCTCTGAGTTGGATGATTTGATCGTGGAACTTTCATCGTTCCTTTGAACGACATCATCAGCAACAAAAACTTCAGATAGAAGTCTTCTTCAAATAGAAGACTTCTATCTATCATCCACCTGAGCTACAAATATTCTCCACCATTTTTGCCTATCGTATTTCGTCAAACAAGAAAATGAATACTTTCCCACAATTCATTAATGGAAATTAACTATTCGTTGTTCTAAAATTGATCAGATTGTAGATTTATGGTAATTTTTGTCATTTATTAAGTGATTGTAAATAATTATCAGGAATCTTTGGATTTAAGCAAAGATGGATAGTGATTAGCAGTGGAATCCAGGATATGCATTTCGTCCTATTTTGGACTTATCAGTTGGATGTACCTGTATCCCACAGTTGATGTTCAGTCACTATCTACCTTTGTCAGAAGTGGTTTTTTGGAGATTTTAGAAATTTCACTGATTGAAATCATGAGTCAATTGAAGCTAGACCACCATAGAAAACCTGGAAGTACTGGACGGCCGCCTCGTCCTAGTATGGGATTCCTCAGCAGTTCGCATCCACGACCCCGCATACCGCATGATTCGAACCCAGAACCTATCAGTCTCGCGCCAGGCGCTTAACCAACCAGACCACTGAGCCGGCATCCAATGGTGTTAATGTCTAACTTCAACCAATCCACGAAGTTGCGCCACCGTACACCATTATCTTCAGTGAGTTGATATCTCACAACAGACCTGGTTGAACTCTACTGGTAACGGCTTCTCAGTAGAACTCCAGGAGTATTTCTTAAAGTCAGTCACTAGTGATCAGATGATTATTATCAGAAGGGGTTTTGTGGAGATTTTAGAAATTTCGCTGATTGAAATTGTGAGTCACACGCCTGGCGCGTTACTAATAGGACCTGGGTTCGAATCTCGCGGGGTAAGGGGTCGTGGATGCGCACTGCTGAGGAGTCCCATACTAGAACGAAACGGCCGTCCAGTGCTTCCAAGTTTTCCATGGTGGTCTAGCTTCAAATTTCTCATGATTTCAATCGATGAACTATCTATCTTTGTTTAAAAAACTTGTGATTTAAAGATATATCGAAGCAGTCTGCACAGGCTACACATATGCCAACATGAGACTGATCAATTACAGTCCTAAATAACAATCGGAAGATACAAGTAAAACAACAGCAAGTAAATCTTGGGTTTAGGTTTCATACTTTTTATCACTTTTCAACAAGACATTTTTGGAATCTTCAAGGAACTGACACTTCTTGTAGAGATTGAAGCACAGTTCACACATTTTCATAGTTCGAAAGGTTTTCATTCAGACATTGTATGTATATAACATGATTAACTGGTACAGTTATTATTTTTGATAAGAAACTAACTATTATCCAACCATCGTTCTATACAGATCCTAGAATTATACTGCCAAACATAGGACTTGATAATTATTTCTTTTTTTAAAATTCTCATTCATTTCTTCAACTATCATTCGATAAAATCAATGATATTATCAATAACATTTTTCGCGGGATCATGGATGTGCATTGCTGAGGAGTCTAGTACTAGGACGAAACGGCCGTCCAGGTTTTCACTGGTGGTCTAGGTTAGACTGACTCGTGAACTCGACTGTTAAAAAACATTCTTATTTGCATTATTTTTACATTGAACAGCATAATATTTTGATAATTAGTAAGTGAAAAAACTTGATGAGATTGTGAATCTTCATCAACTGAGAAGGTTGAGCCACGTGTTACACACGCCTGAACACAGATTACCACGACGCGTAATGCTGACTAGTGTTGAAGATGGTTGGAAGAAAGTTAGGGGCGGCCAAACCAAAACGTGGTGTCAGTCCATAAAGTCGCTAACATCTGGTCTAAGCCAGGTTGGTAGATTCAGACTACTTGATCGAGATTCGCGCGGCTATCGTAACCAGTGGTTGGAGACTCTGAGTGACATGACACAGAATCGATCACAATGGAGTATGTGTATACACTCTTTGTCTCTCTTTAAACCGTGGGATTAAAATACTTTATACCTTTCTTCTTATGAACTAAGTCTTTCTACCTCTATTATATCCTTATATTCAATCTTTCTTTAATATATCACTACCATTGAAGTAACTATGAATTTGGTGACCATGTTGTTGTACTAATGGGATATGGCAACTTGGACCGATGCATACATATGTCTGGTCCTATTTTGTAGTTGACTAAATGACTAATTAAACAAGCTTCGGAAGACTTTTATGTATATCTCTGAATAGAAGCCAGTAGCAGTACTGCTATAATTTTCTAATATATAACACTATGATGAAATAATCTTCTTTGACTAAAAGAAGTCTTGCTTGGCTAGTTTTTATCTCCGACCAAATATTACTTCTACTCATGCTATATTGATTAAGTAACCATTGCCTACTTTATTCATTCCTAACAATTGACTATGAGTGATTAGCTAACTTCAAATTGGATAACCCTCATAAAACCTCCTATCTAAACTTATTTTTGGATCAATAAAATATCGACTATTTCACATAGCATATTGAAATTTACTCAACGGGTCTTCTAAAGATATTGGTCACCATATGATTACAGTTATTTCGTAAATATCATACGTTCCATAATTCACTTGCAAAATGTCCAGCAATTGTCTCGAACTTTGTTTTTTTTTCATTTTCATACCAATCACTCCCTGTTCCCATTCTCTTCTATTCGGTTTTCACAACCTTCTGCTGCCAGGCATTCCACTTTCAAATTGGCGTTACGTACTACTTATGTATGTCGACATAAGTAGCACACACCACAATACAATATGTGTTTAACAACACCGTTGGATACCTATATAAAAAGCGGGATGGTGGATGCGCATTGCTGAGAAGTCCCACAATGGGACGAAGCGGCCGTCCAGTACTTTCAGGTTTTCAATGTTGGTCTAACATCAATGGGTTCATGTTCTCAATCAAAAACTTAATAATCCCTAAAACCCCATACTGATATTCATATATTTAGTTTAAACAAGTTCTATTATATTACGGTTACTTAGTAACAGGTTGGTATATTCAAAAGTCCCGTGATATCTAACTTCTTAAATAATCATATGACTTCCATTACCTAAAAGACCATAGTCTTAGTAATAATAAGAATAGTGTTAAATGTTTTTGGTGGTGTTGTATTCTTTGACCTTTTATTGTTATTCTGAAAAACCTATTCAGTTCCTGCCATGTGTAGAAATGAGCTTCTCAGCTATTCGATAAGTGCTTGTGATCGGTTGTCTCTGATGAGTTTATTGTCTTCATTTGTCCATGAATTCAAGTTGGTTGTCTTCGTTAACTGATGTCCGAACTTGTGATTGATTGACCTCCTTCTTATGGATCTATAGATTAGGTCTATGTCAGTGTGCCTACTAATTGCTAATTGTTTAGTACGCCATGCTCCCGTAAATTCCTTGGTAGCTTTAGAGCTTCCTCGATCCAGAATTTCGATGTTTATACAATAAAATTCATATGTATGGCTGCCAACTTGCACTGATATGAGTGATAGCATATCATGTTACCTCACTGGTAATCCATGTTCATCTATACTTAGTATGGAGGCGTCCACTCTGTATAATGTAAGATTCTTCTTAGTTGGTCTTATCCTCTGATATGCATATATTAGAATAAAATGGCTGTGTTGGTTTGTGAGCAATGTTAATTCCAAACAGCTACCGAAACGTAGTAATAGTTTCTGAAATATTTTTTATAAATGATAGGACTATCTGTTTCGTTGGTTTGGGTCGTTGATTTTTGTTGGTATGTTGACATAATTGTATGAGGTAGCCATCCTTACGAAAGATGAACTGAAGACGAGGTTTTTTTTAATTATTTTTCTGTTGTAAGAGTTTTAAAATGGGTTTTGATTCTTTTGTATAGTATCTCGACAAAACTGATTTTATGTTCTGTTAAGTTTTTAGTGCTGTAGGTTATTTCATTTATTTGAACACATAGATAATGGTACAAAGAGGCACCGAATACATATGCGACACACAAGTCACTCGGTTTGTGTATAGGCTGTGATAATACCTGGGTGCCCAAACCAAAACAGGTGATTTTCTTAGGGGACCACAACCAGAGCCTTCAACCTAAAAGACTGATCCACAAGGCAGTGGAGCAACGTCGGGAGATGAATTCACATGGTAGCCGGTCACAAATAATTGCTTCATACGTCATATGTTCCTTTAGAATAATACTGGAGCCCATGTGCACCATTGATTTGGAATGAGGGTTTTCCAACTACCCTAGGTGGACTCTTCGTGTCCACCAACCCGGTTAAAGCACCGGACATTCGCTTTACGTCCTCTCAATTCCGTAAACAACACCCGTGATGCGATAAGTTAGTGTGTAGGACTTTCCTGACAGTGGTTGTATGCACGTGGCTATGTGAGAGCAATTGAAGAGGGAGAGCGGACTCTTCCTACCCTCGGCCGTACCAGGGCTTTTGAGGGCAGCATTTGGGTTATATGGCTTGGTTTTCTGTATACTTGTGTTTTAAAAGGTTTTGTGCTTGTTTCGCTAATTAAAACGTCCAAGAATAGGATATTTTCTTCCGATTTGATTTTGTCAGAAATATTATTAATCAACTTATGAGTTTGCAACACAGATATGATCTGCATTATTCATCTTCGTTTCTTATTTCCAACTAATCAATAGTTTTCCATAGAATGATTTGAACAACAATTTATCATTAAAAACGAATGATGGAGTCACTATTTATAGTGTGTAAGAGTCGATGACTTCATGGTTCAA